GATGGCAGGGGAAGTCGAAGATGATCTGCTGTCAAGGATTTACAGTTTCTTTAACATGAAGTGCGTTGACTTACACTACACAGCAATTGTCACTCCTATGCACCATGCTTAAATGACAATCAAACTAATCAAAGCCATGGGAACTGCTACCGCATGGTTGAAGCTAAAAGGAAAGATAAAGATCTCATTTAAGTGCTCCCCACGGAGCGCCGACTCTGAGTGTGTGAGGTACTGACGAGTTCTCATGCTGATTTGATTTAGAGCTCAAATGACCACAGTCCATGCTCTTAAGCTCAAGGCCATTGCATAATATTATGACAGAGACGTCAAATGCAGTGCCACATGTTAACCATATGTAAATCAGCAGTGCATACATGTGCTGTCTTTAATATATAACTATTTCAGACCCATTTTCACTTCTGATCCCAAATGTATAAAACATAAACACGCTGGATGTTTTCAACCTGGATCACTGAGAAAATCGAAATAGTAAAACAGGAAACTTAGTTTGATGTTCTTTTCTGAGCTGGCAAACATTTGATGTGGTATTTGTCACGTTTGAAATATGATCTGTGAGTTTATCAGTTATAAGCAGAATAAGCCTTTCACTCCACCAGTGTCATCTATAAAAACTAAAAAAATCCATCTGACCCACAGCAAAAAAAGAACAAAATAAACAACAAAAAGAAATTATTAACTTAGCTTAAAAAAAACAGGAGGAACCAGCAGTCTGCACTAAATGGATAAGCATACCATGCAGGCAGTCACATGACAAAATTTGTGGGTTTAGACTTTGTTTAGGAAAGTCCTTACTGAAGAAATTATCGCTGTTCTAGAGCCTTCATGACACTCCTCCAGGCGCTAATTGCAACCGTTATTTTGAAGTATTATTCAATAAGTGATCAGAATAGGCTGTAAGTAAGAATCACTAGTTAAATGATATATAAAAAACAATTTGCTATAATAACCTACAATAACATTTTAAAAAACACTTTTACTTTTTTTGTAGAAAAAAACACTTTTGCTTCTCTTTTAGTAAATCTCTAATGTTAAATGCTGCACTAGACTAGCACTAAATTAGTCTCATCTTGCATTTATAACGCTGTGCTATAACGAACGTGTCACCAGGTAAAATTGCAGCAGAATTCTTGTCTCTTCTGACAAAGTTGGTAATAAGTTACGAAATGAGAGACTACCCCACAACACGCTCTGCTGACGATGATTTGCAGTCTGGCGACACATAAAAGCACTTACCTGTGTTTCTGAACGCAAGTGAGATTTTTTTTCGCCTTCTTCAACATACATCCAAATGTCCTTACTACCCCACTGTTCACTATGAGTCACTGTCAATGGAGCCGCTCCAGAAACTGTACCTTAATGGTGGAGCGTTGGCTCTCCTCCACACAGGTCCTGGCTCGCATTCACAAGCCTGACTCCAACTGTCCAAGACCGTAGAAATAAAATATGCCAGTTGTGTTTTAAGGTGGATTTTCACTTTATGCAGAGGTATTAGACTAAAATAAACTTAATACTTCATTTAGGAATACCTGTTTATTACAAGTTATACAGTTACACCCATATATCTGTCGTGAACACATTCCTGATTGCACTAAGGGAAAGTTCAGGAGGATTCATGTAACAAATGCAACCAGTGTTGGAGCTTAAGTGTAAAAGTGAGGTGTTATTATTATCTTGTTTTGTTTTTTTCTTCTTTCTTCAGTGCGGTGGCTGTGAGTGTGTGAGGCACAGAACAATAAATCACAGTATCACTCAACTGGCTTGTGCAATTATCAGCACTTCACTGGTGCAAACCAAAGCCAAATGACAATTTATTTGCACTATAAATCTGAAAAATTGGGTTTGTCTGTCCTTTATTGTCAAGAAAGCCCAAGTTAAAACAAGTGTCTTCAGTTTCAAAGTCAACATTCAGAGAGGCGTAGTATGGTTCAGTGATCTGTGATTACATAGCTTGGCTCTGGCCCACTTTCTATAACATGTATACTCTGCAATCAGGACAAGCGAGCCTTTGGTCTCAGCAAAGCTTTTGGGGAGAAAGAGCAGATTACATGGCAGCTGCTGTGCTTTTCCAAGCACAATTATTGATAACCTGTCAGTGAACATAATAAAGAGCAGCTGATGTTTCACCTGGCTTTTTCCAAGAAAATTAGAGACAAAATTTGCACGTACGACCAGATTCAGGCTGTTCAGGCTGATTGTTACGTTAGCCCGGTATCATGACATGATGTTTGGATAGCGCATTGATTTCCGTAAGTCATTTTGTTCATTCAAATGCATGCTTTTAGGACACCTAATTTTTATGAATACATATAATGCTGTGTTTAAATCAAATTTGTTCATATTTGATCTCTGACAAATGTTTCAGGCGTATAACTCTCTCCTAAAAGTTTCACAGGTTATGTGCTTTTGAAGAGAAAAAATCAAAGAGGAAGTTTCTTCAGCTCACAATAACAGTTATTCTGTCTTTTGTCTGACAATGAAATTATTTTATTTTTTAAAGCCCTTTTTCTAAAGCATATAGAGAAGGGGGAATAATTATTTGATCCCTTACTAAATTTGTAAGTTTCCTCACCTACAAACAAATGGACAGTCTTTAATTTTCACGACTGTCATTTTAATCGAGACAGAATATCAACCAAAAATCCAGAAAAAACACAATGCATAAAAATAGCAAGTTACTGAGTGAAATAAGTATTTGATCCCCTATGATCCAGACAGAATTCTGGTTCCCACAGATTGTAATCAGTCTGATCTCAGCGCATTACGTGTATAGATTACACTTGTCACAGAATCAATTTCTTCCATTCTAACCTCTCCACCACCATGGTCAAGACCAAAGAGCTGCCACGTGTCCCTGGACAGGGTCCCTAGACAGGGACACATGGGTGGAATGGGCTACAAGACCATCACCAAGAAGCTTGATGAGATGGTGGCAACTGTTGGAAGAAATATAAAAACATCATCAGTCACCCTGAGTCTGAAGCTCCATGCAGGATCTTGTCTCATGAGGTGAAGCTGCACAGGAGAAGCTTGTTAATAATATGAAGACGGTTGGACCACAGTCACCAAAAAAATACTATTAGTAACACACTACGCCATAATGGGCTGAAATCTTGCAGCGTCTGCAAGGTGCCCCTGCTCAAGAACACGCATGCACAGGCCTGTGAACGCCTAAGTGAGGCAAAGAAGGCGTGGGAGACAGCGCTGTGGTCAGATGAAACTACAGTCAAGCTCTTTTTTTGGCATCAACTGTACCTGCTGTGTTTGGAGGATGAGAGGATAACAGAAAGAACATCATCCCCACAGTCGAGCATGGAGGTGGAAGCATTATGTTCTGGGGCTCTTGTTCTGCTAAGGGTGGAGGACAACTTCAACACATTGAAGGGCCAACCGATGGCCGTGTATCACAAAATCTTAGACAAGAACGTCCTTCCCTCAGCCATAACTCTGATAATGTTCGTGGAGTCTCCAAACCTCAATCCTACCGAAATTCTGTAGAGGGAGCTGAAGCTCTGAGCTGCCATGCAGCAGCCAAGAAAAAAAAGAGTTTCTATAAAAAGGAGTGGGCCAAAATCCCTCCTCAGCAATGTTTTCCTTGGGGAACAAATACTTTTTTGACTCAAAATACAACGTCCATTTGTAACTTTTATATCACGTGTTCTTGGCAAATGCTGGCAATGCTATCGGCTACTTGCGTAGGCTACATTTAACTACATAGATTCATAGCATAAGTATAAATGAATGCTTTAAGGGTTACTGTTACATTACTGGCTTACTGGCGGTGCTAAATTTTAAAACGAAAATGTTGCTTTTACAAGGACTTAGCTACCCTCAGTACTGTTCAACTTAAACTGTTATTTTTAGATTCAAATGAGTGCAAGCTTGTTGAATAAAAATCATTTGGCTATAGTTACATTCCATCTGTCACCTGGTCTTAAAAAAGAAGAGACAACATTTGCATGCAGGAAAGTGCTCATTTTTCCTTGTCAGAAATTGTATCGGTTACATGTTTTGGTAAGCTTCCAATCGGCAACTAATGCCTTCATTTGCTCTTTGGGATGTCGCGACCGGCAGGTCACGACCCCCTCGCTGTAAACGAAAGCAGATGTCAGATGAAGGGAAGGGCCTGGTATTACATAATTGAGGTGCTCTCCCATGAGAGACCTGTGATGTGGCGCCTGAGCTCGCTGACACACAGTCAAACTGTTAAGAAAGTTGTTACATGACATCAAAGCTGGAAGGCTGGAAGAAATTCATAAAACGTGTGATTGCAGCCAGAGCTGCGTGAATATAAACCACCTGAGTGAGATAATTAACAATAGGGGAGACAGAAAATGATTAGGACCGTGCAGGGAAAAGGGAACATTTCATACTTATGTGTCGGATCCAGGATCTGACCGGGAGACCTTCAGATAATACTGGGGAGGGAAAACACACACAGACAAAGGAAGAAAGAGAAAGCAACAAAATCACAGACGCACTCAACCAACAGACATTGAGGAGTTTCTATGTTTATGACCTTAAACTCCCACCTAGACTCCCCCCCCCACACACACACACACACACATGCAGGGCACAGTGAAACGTGTGCACATGCTGTGGACCACACACTGCAGAGCAGGTCTGTTTAAAAGCCAGGAGCTGTGTTTATCATTCCCTACATCCTGCTCACAGAAATATTTGTGAGCAAGCTGCGCTGTTTTGTGTGTGTTTTCTGTATGCATATGTGCACATACGTATGTGTCCATGTGCATCTGTTCAATGACTACAAATTGACGCTGGTAGCTTTTCATTCTAGCCCACAGACAGAGTAAAACTATGCTAATTCGACTTTAAGTTTCATTCTGAAATACCGATTTAAGTGGCTTGTATTCTCAGCCCTCTTCCTGCTTTTTCTCTGTCCCTCTCCTGTCTCTCCATACCTCTTTCTCACCTTCGCTCTTTATCTGTCCTCCTCTTCCTCCTCCTACCCCCAACTTTAGTCCTACAGTTAAGACTTCAGCAGAGGAGGACACGAGAGCAGCTGGCAGACCAAGGCATCATGCCTCGTGAGTAACACCTTCCAACATGGAGCTGCTGCACATCCAAACACACACACACACACACACACATGTACTTACATGCTTTCAGACTTAAGTGTGAGTCAGACAGTCAGAGGGAAAAAGTGTGAGAAACTCAAGCATGTCAACTTATCACACTTGTCCCAATTAGCAATTAGATACAGAGGTGAAAGGTCAGTTCCCCCGACTGTCTAGCTGTTAAAATAATGTAGGTTTTATCTGTCCAAAAGATAAATGAGTGTTCTGCTTCCATGCAAATACGAGGTTGATAGGTAACTGAATTTTTTACATTCATTTATGTGAGGCACTCCTTTAACATTAGACTTGTTCCATTACCAACAAAAATATTAGTGAGCTTTAAAACTGTTTTTAATTAATTTGGGGGTTTTTTTTCAATAATTTAGAGCAGTGAAAAAACAAATATTGTGTGCTTTGTCCTCGGGTGTGTGGTGGATGGCGCAGTTCACTGTGGGAAATATGAGCAGTTACTGCATTTTTCAAATTTGCCCTAGGTCCCCTTGGCTCAATCAGTATTATTTTGAAAATCCAGCAATGAGGTTGTGAGAAGCACCAACTGCCCGAGTTTCACATGCATCGGATCCTTGAGTCTGACATACTGCTTGACATTTAAAGAGAAAAGGGAAAAAAAATAGTTAGATGTAGGCCTGAAATGAAAACTATAAAAACAGATACCAGCTGTTAGTCAAAAGAGAGACAAAAAGAAAGTGATCCACAGTCTCTCATGGACAATTTTTCACAGTACATATATGTTACTGATGGACGTGTAACATGAATCCAGCCGTATTAAAGAGAGAAAGAAAAATGAAACAGGCAGCAAAAACACAACAAAGCACATATCTAGATAGTGGAGATGAATAAATCCTGAACCAAGGAAAGCAGGTGGCTTTATGCTACAGAGCAGAGGAGAAAGAGACGGCCAGATAGTGGCTGCAGCCTGAGAACAGGCAGACAAGATTGTAAGTGACCGCCAAGGAATGCTCTTGTGCTGGAAGAGGACATACGGCCTCAGAAGAAACAGCTTAGGAGGCCAGATTCACAAGAGGTGGCACCTGTTTACAGCACAGCGCTGAGAGGCATGCCCAAACACAACAACTGAGCGCGCAGGCCGCATTTACAATAAAGAGGCTTTGTGCTTTTAAGAGCACGTAAGTCATAGTGATGAGAACACATGGACCTGACTGTACTGAGCAACCTCTTAAATCTTCACCCTTGCTGCGATTGATGTTCCCTCCTTTTCTTCAGGTCAGCTTAGTGGATGTTTGCAGCTTTTCGGGTTAGCTGTGACTGCCAACACACGCCACGCGAGAGATAAATTTCAAATATTCATGAGAAAGTAGTTTGTTTAGTGTGCGACATTACAACACAGCAGACAGCTACTCATAAAATCGAGATTTTTATCTATTCCTGTTACTTTAAAGCATCTCGTAAGTCATCTCGGGAAACATGGAATTAGTGAGCCATGCAAGCAAGCTGGTTTTGTCCCCCCCCTCGATTCCTTGCCTGTAGAAACAACAAGGGGACCGGGTGACCTGGACTACAGGCTGGGGATTTGTTGAATGATATCTCTGGCACCGTTCGCCATTTCACAGAGGCTCCAGCCTCAAGATAAACCTCTGGTAAGTGTGCGGGGGAACGGAATCCAGGGGCCCGGCGAGCCCCTATCAGTTTCTAGGAGTCTGTCACAGATAAGGCAGCAACGAGAAACACAATTGGCCAGCAGGGCTCCAAGCACTCTTTTAAAAAAGAAATTTCAATTGGCTGTTTATCTCTTGATTGCAGGCGGTGGTGCAGATCTGAGAGACGTTGCAAGGACTCGTATTTGCGCTGTTTGTCATACACCCACACACTAGATGTCTTATCGTTCTTCAAAACATCATCCGTCCTCCCAAAAAAAAATCCGGCATTTCTGAGGAGGGCACAACATCCTCCTCCTCCTGCGGCTGCCGCTTCTGCTGCTGTCGATGTGATCCCTCAGATGCTGGTTGACTCTGCCTGGCTGTGTTATTCCTGCTCGGGGGAGATGGACACGGCACAGGGTCTGTGTATATATTACCCAGGGAACATCTGGTGTTTATTAGACTATTCAAGAATCCGCCACGGCCTCTCGGGCCCGACTGGCGTGTGGCCTGCATGGGAGCACACACTGTCTGCCTGCTGGCCACAGGTCTGACTTGACACACACATACAATCTAATATTTCCCCATAAAGATAACAGGCCCGTAGCTGCAGGTTTACTGTGCTCTCTGTTGCTTTAAAATGTTCATTTCCACAGCAGAAGGACTTTAATCCTCAGTGGATGGAACCACAAAAGGAATCATTCCAGCTAATGCACCAAACCTCTCTGTGTAGTGTTTACGCATGACAGTCAGCAGTTAAATGCACTGCAGTAGGTTTAAAGAGCACTGTATGTTTAAAAGTGAGCTTCAGACTCACCCGATCATGTTACATTAGACCAGCGCAGTCGCATCAGGCCAAGTTCTAAACAGACGATAACGCCGACGTGACCATGACAGCAGCTGATGCTTCTCCACTCTCTCTCAGAGGAATGGGGCGTGCAGCCACAGCGGATCATCTGTATTACCCACCTCAGTGTTTTTCCTTCTACTCAAATCGAATCTCTTTTTTCTTCTTTTCTGCTCCTTTTCATGCTCCCAACATTGTTTTTGTTTTTTTGTTTTTTTATTTTAACATCCCCTCACCCCCAACCGGTCACTGCAGATGAATCTGGATCTGCCAGAGCTTTCTTCCTGTTAAAAGGGAGTTTTTCCTTCCCACTGTCGCCAAGTGCTTACTCATAAGGGGTCATCTGATTGTGGGAGTTTCTCTGTATTATTGTAGGGTCTTTGCCTTACAATTATACAGAACTGTGTTGTGATTCGGTCCTATACAAATAGAATTAAATTGAATTAAATTTACCTTTTTTCCTGTCCCTCCCCTTTTTGAGTTCAGAATTTGTCTGTGTTGAATATTTTTCTTTTTTTTTGCTCTTTATGTTCTTCATTTTCTGGAATTATCAAAACTTCTAACATACAATGATGATCATTCTTAATCTACTTCATTGTCCTCTCTTTTAACATATTTCTTTCTTATTTTCAAGTCAATTCAATTTTATTTATATTTATACAGCGCCAAATCACAACAACAGTCGCCTCAAGACGCTTTATATATTTGTACGGTAGACCGTAGAATAATACATACAGAGAAAAACCCAACAATCATATGACCCTCTATGAGCAAGCACTTTGGTGACAGTGGGAAGGAAAAACTCCCTTAACAGGAAGAAACCTCCGGCAGAACCAGGCTCAGGGAGGGGCGGGGCCATCTGCCATGACTAGTTGGGGTGAGAGAAGGAAGACAGGATAAAGACATGCTGTGGAAGAGAGCCTGAGATTTTATTCTCTACCTCCTGATGCTGCTCCTTCCTTCTTTCTGTGTTTTCCTTTCTCATTCATCCTGCTTTAGTAACGTCTGCCTCTTTCTTTTTTTCGTCTTCTTTTGTCAGAGATTGATAGATGTCTATTTTGACTGAGATCTTTAGCATAATATTTGCTTTATCTAAAGTTTAAAAATGCCTAATATTTGAACATTAATCTTGATTTTGATGAAACCCATTTTTCCTCTGAAGCATTACATTTCAGATCCGTTTTTCATCAGACACTAATACTCTCTCTAACTTGTCCAGCACAAAGCTCAGTATCATTCATTTCTTTGTTGGCGCTGGATCCTATGTCATCCCTCTGAAATATCCCACTAAAATTATATTTGACCAAATAAGTGCTGTTGCTCTTTCTTGGACTCAGATAATCAAACTGATCTGGTGCGCTCTCCGCACTGCTTGGTAATCAGTCCTGCAAGTGCTGCGGACAGATTGTAGGCCAAGCCAGGTTAGCTCTGGCCCTGATTATTTATCCAGGATTTAACAGAGATAGATTGTAGAAAGTTGAAAATCTTACCCACTGCAACCCTTTAATTAGAGCCTCTCCATTTATTTTTCTAGTATTCAGACTGTACTAAGAGTAAAAGCAGCTGGACTGATATTACAGCTGATCCAAAATGTAAATATTGATTATTGAAGGATAAAAGAAGTGTGGAGATAGCAGCTGAATGCAGAAGTGTGTAGATTAATAATGATATGATAAAAAAGGGAACAGAGGTTTAAATGAAAGACCATTTTACTCTGGAATTTAATAAACAGATGAGAAAAAGCCCTGATATCACTTCAAAATTATTGTAGTTTGTTACTTCTAAACATCATCTATAACTTTGGTTACTGTGGGTGTTGTAAAGACAACATTCACAATAAGACGAAAAACTAAAGTCTGTATTAACAAAGCATACACAAAGAGTTATTTGCCATATTCTTATAATTACTGACATTATTGATATAATATTTTTGAATATCATAGTTGTCATCCATACGTGGTTATAAAGATACCCCAATCAAGTTACAGGTAAATGTTCTGTAAGGAAAGAAGGAAAAGTGTAGAAATATTATGAGCAGAATCTCTCTGCGTACAGGAAAAGCAGATCTGCTGTTATGAATTCGTGGTGCGCTGCAGGTGCATTCCTAAAATGCAACGTTCATCTTTTTGCTACTGAAAAACAGCCTTGTGACCTTAACTTGTCTTTCAAGTAGGGCAGTGGAAGTGTGCCAGCTTAACCGCCAAGTTGTGCTTTCTCACAGCTTGCTCTTGAGACGCGAAGAAATCATCTGTGTTTATAGTCGTAGAACAGACACACCGAACGGTGGAAAGGAGGAGAAGGATTGCATAAAAATGCAGACACAGAGCCCACGCTCATTAATTGCAGGACATTATCCCACTTATAGATCACCAGTGACACTGTCAGTTACCTGAATCCTCTAAGAAATGACCGCAGTAACGGTGTATTGAAGGATCGGGTTATATGGTTTGTTTTTAAATGAATTTCAACATTAGTTCAGAATTGTTTGAAAATTATATCTGGAAGATGCTCAAGATTGTTACTGCATACTTATCAGAGATCTTTTCATGTTAGCATGTAGTATCAGGGTAAGGTGGAGCCATTATTAACTAGCTTATGGAGTCATTATACACTGATCAGGCATACCATAATTCGCTCTGACAGGTGAAGTAAATAACATTTTGATGATCTCTTTATCATGGCGCCTGTTACTGGGGTGGATATATTAGGGAGCGAGTGAACATTTTGTCCTCAAAGTTGATTGGTTAGAAGCAGGAAAAATGTACAAGTGTATGGATTTGAGTGTGTCTGAGAAGGAACGAATTGTGACGGCTAGACGACTGGGTCAGAGCATCTCCTGTGGGAGGCTCCCAGTCTGGAGTGTGCATTGATTAGCTGAACACCAGGATGCACTATGGGAAGAAGGGAAGCCAGCGGACGCAGTGTGATGCTTTGGAAAATGTCCTGCTGGGAAAACTTTGGTAATTCGCCCTGCCACAAAGAAAAATAGTTTGAGGAGCACAAGTTTGAGTTGACTTGACCTCCAAATTCTGTTGCTAACAACTTGGTACCAGATACCACAGCACACCTTCAGGGGTGTAGTGGAGTCCATGCCTCAATAGGTCAGGGCTGTTTTACCAGGCTAATGCAGACCGGGCAATATTACGCAGGTGGTCATAATGTTATGCATGATCGGTGTAAGTTATTCTGGACAACATAGACCATTTTAAATCTTTAAAAGTAATAAGAGTCACTGTCAAACAAATGGATTAAGGATCTTTGTAATCACGGCTAAAGTGCATTATATCAAAGTATACTTTCAACTGCAAACATAAAAATATACTTTTAAGCATGTACTTCATTACTCTCCACTCCTTTAGTGTAGTGTTTCCCTGGTGTGTCCCATGTCGTTGATGTTGTGGTCCTGCTCTGTGTTATCCAGACCCGGCCTCAGGCGGCTCCAATCTGGAAGCCCAGCTGAGGCTAAAGCGAGCCCAGCTCGCCGAGGACTTGAATAAGAAGTTGGCACTCAGGCCAGGGCCCATGGAGCTGGTGCAAAAGAATATCATTCCCCTAGACTCTGCCATCACGATGACAGGTATCAGTGGAGAGACGCCGCCACGTGGTGTAACCCGACTTTAACACCCGCTGCGCCTTAGCCTGTGCGTTTATATGCTATATGCTTGTGTGTTTGGGACTAAAGTTTAGGTGTAGAGTTTGTTTTGTGTAAAAGGGCCCTTCTAACTGACTGACTGTGTGTATACTCATTAATGAGGCAGACTGTAAGCTACTCAAACGAGCATTGTACTTGAGTGGACTGCACTGCTACGTCGGTCACATCGTTTAGTCTTCTAACAGGAGAAAAGGATTATTCCAAATGATAAGACCTTCAAAGGGTCTGCACAGATCAGTCTTCAATGCATCACAACCCCTTTTGTTTTTCTCTCGTGCTGGAGAGTCATGTGCTAAAGTCAAGTTTATAGGTACGAGCAATGATATTTCTCTTTATTTTAACCTGGTCTATTTTTGCATATGTGAACCACGCTAATGTTGCACTCTCCAGCAAAGTGTATTTTGGGAAAATATTACAGTGTTTCAGGAAACACAGGAATTTTAGAGGAATTGTTTTAAACACTAAAATTACTAAAACTATTAATTACTATCACTATTCCTTATTTCTATTAATAAAACACTGGTATTACCACAAAATGTGAGGGATATAAACCATCTGAACAAGCATTTTTCACAACCTGCCCATGTGTTCTTGTTTATCTTTCTGATCAGTCAAGCTTTGTAAGGCATATCAGAATGCATTATTCAAGTCAAAATTTGAATTCTGGTCTTGATTAGTGGACCACCTATGCATCAAAGTATTCTTCTTTGTACATTAAATTTGAATGCCTTAACAGCGACGAGGGCTGTTAAAATGAACATTTGTGTTTGTAGCCAGAAAGAAAGAAAGAAAATCCATGTAAAGAAAAAGGTGCTTAGCAATCAGCATTTACAAATGTCTATTATGGACTAAAGTGTTTGAGGAGTGCTTTTTGGTGCATCGTGTATGCTTAAACAAAGATTTAGCACTGTGTGAAGCGCAGGGCCGGAGCTGTCCCACCACGCCGCTCACATCTCACACTGTTTGAGTCCAACATGTTACTCACTCTCTCTGTTCTTAGCAGTGCAGCGAGTTTTCTTTAGACTCTGCTGTTTTAGCGGTTTTATGTTTGCCTCCTTAAGCTTCCAGTAAACATGTTGCACAAAGGAGCCGGCAGGCTGCGGTCAGCTGGTTTATAATACCTCTGCCGGAGAAGGGGATCTCCGTTTATCGAGATGAACAGCAGCTGTATTTGGGTCCACCCTTTTTCTTTAGAAGTCTGCGATGTGTGTGCGTGTAGAGTGCATCCTTTGCCACATGTGTGGGCGTACCTGCCTGTATGTTTGGACCTATCTGCTCATCCTCCCCCCCTCTTTTGTCTGTGCTCTGACTGGCTCCAATCAGCCACCTACAAAACTACGTGACAGGACCAGGCTGTTGTGACCCCCACCCCGCCCCCTTCGCCTGCAGCATTAACCCCTCACCTTAAAGCTCTATATCTCCCTACATAACACTCCCAGTGATTGTTTCAACCTCTGTCCGGTAATTTTGGAAACTGCCTGACCCGCCATAGCTTGTAAACCAGCCATGTGAAAAGAGGAAGCGTACGTGGCGTGCAGATTTCCTGTAATTCTACCAACTCAATCTCCCGGTGACAACAAATTATCTTAAAGAGTCCTGGACTGTGTGCAGGAACTGTGTAAATTCACACACAGACCGTGTTGGTGTTTTTCCCTACAGAGTTAAACGTGAACAGGTGGGAGGAAATGGCATTTAGGACAATGCTATTTACTAAGCTGTGCGGTAAGCTCGCTGAGTGTGTGTTTGTGTGTACTGCAAGGTCATAGAGTTGCACAGAATGGACCTGGTACTGTGATGGAAACCAGAATCTGTTCCTGGTTGTCACATGTTTGGATACAAAAAGAGAATCTTATACCTCTCAGCGCGCGCGCGCACACACACACACACACACACACACACTCCAGCCTTTACCACCTCCTTCCCTGGCTCTGTCCCTTCAGCTCCATTAGATAGTTGCTCTTAACTACCCCAATCAAAGCTGAGTTCCCTATCGGGCCAGCCAATCAGGAGCGTTCTAGAGGTAAAGTGGTTGTGTGAGTGTCTTACCCACACAGCGTAACACCTCCGAGCTGAGTGCTGTACTAGGTGTGAGTGACAGGCAGTGTGTGAATACCTCTGCTCACATACATTGTGTGCAGCATGCAGTATGCATCCAATCAGCCAAGGAGCAAGTAAAAAAAATGTTTCACAAAAACAGATGTGAAAAGGGTCCAGTGGTTTGTGGATTGAGTGAAATGTTTTCTTGAAATGGTGTTTAAGGCGCTTTGGACAAATTCTGCTGTCATTTGGTTTGTGGGACAAAGGTCTTACCCTATCAGCAGCACATGTAACTAAAGCCTGGTGTATTTAAAACTACAGAGCACAGAATGATTGAACCTCCACAGATACAGTGCTGGAGTAACATAACAGCGTGTTAAACTGAGAACCGTTTCCACTAAAACAACAGGTTGAGGTTGAACACAATAGTCTTGCGACTGGTCATTTGCTGTTTTAGATTGCAGATGAAGTAGTTTGGTGGTAAAGTGACTGTCAGCCGGCTGGAGGCAGCAGTACTGATTGGCTGTTTCAATAACTGTAATATCCAGGCTATAAAAAACTGGAAGGAACATATTGAAGCATGCTCGGTTATTAAAATGTGCTCTTAGTGTCTTGAATCACAGGTCTTGTGATAATTGTATATCGATGATGACTGTGACAGTTTATACTTGCTTTGCTTTTAGTTCTGGTTAGATTTTGCACTTTAGTTTAATTCACCTATCTACATTTTTCCAAATTTTCTTCACAGATTGTACTAATGTTATGTGGAATTTTTTTGAGCATAGTAATATTGTAACAGCCCTGATTTGTGTCTCAGTATGCAAATGAGTTAGATGGTACATCCCATGTCAATTGTAGCAATGCTGCTACACACTGTTAGGTTAGGTGATCTTTAAAGTTTCTATGTGGATCATTTCCTTTAGGCTGTAGTCACACTGTGCAGATTTCTGTTATGTCTGATAACAACGCACGCCTGGCAGATTGAAGACGATCCGAATGCATTCTGTGTGCACTTACAGTTTTTGTTTTGTTTTGTTTCTAGGTGTAAAAGGGGTCTAGGCTGATAGATATTACATCGCTGACACCCCCACGTATCTCTGTTTTTGTTCTTCTTGCAGTAAACCATGGTAAGCTCCCTAAGCAAGAGGACTCCTATGCATTTGAGGAGGACAGCAGCAGTGAGAGTCTGTCTCCAGAGCAGCACCACAGTGATGAGTCGCAGGGTTCGGCCTGCCCTTCATCTGAGGCTGTCGGCAGTACGGCCTCCTCCTCGTCCTCACCTGCCCTCACCAGCGAACGACAGGTCAAAAAAAACACACAAACACGCCTCCTCTCCTTTGTTCTATCCATTTCTTTCACTCAAGCTCCCACACTGAGCAGCTATGATTACCACCAGTTTATTTCTGCTGCCCTCCTGTGGTAGCAGAGTGAGCTGCACATCCTCTGTTTTCCACTGTTGGACTGAGTTGACATAGGCAGGTGTCACATTCCTGCATGCTGAGCCATGCTGGCGGCACAGCTGCCTTTATATGCTTGCTGCTTACCTTTCACTCACGGTGACCTCATTCCAACGGTCACCAACAGAAACGGTCCCTCAACTGAAATTTGTGCCAGAACACAATTGTTTATATCTCTTAGACCTCTGCCTCTTAAATGTTCCAACTGAATCATCATCCCTCTGTGCGTCATGTCAGTCCCAAAGGTTTGTTTAAAGCTTTTTGGAATACTTTTGCGGAGGAAACATCAATACATGAGCATTTTAGGGATAATTATTCTATTTGGATTATAAACTGTCAAGCAGTCTCCCTGTCTGTTCAATTTACCTTTATAATCATGAAGAAGAAATGAGAAGAAAACAGATACAGTCAGAGCAAAATGCATGAAATCTAAGGCAACAATAGCAAAAAAGTTGCCAAAGACTATAAAATAGCTGCGTAAATACAGTCGTTCACTTTTATTACATCCTGCCATGTGCTTGTTTAGTATTGTTTGGAACCAGATGTCTGTCAGTAGAGTGGATACGATAAAACAACTCCAAGGTTAAACCTCTTTGAGTGAAACTGAGCTCAACAGACCAGTTTATCAAATGAAGCAAGAAGAAAACTATTCTTTACGTCTAAACTGAAACACTTTATACTTTAGTAATTATTTCTTTAACTTCAGCCTGGAAAAGTAAATGTACTTTGTTTTTATTTGTGGATAGGGTGGTGTAAGCAGAGACCCCCCTGATCAAAGCCAGGATGAGGGGCTTTCTGGTGCTAACAACAGCCAGACTACTCCCCCAATACCTGTTCCTGCTATCGTCAAGGTCAGTTTGTCATTAAACTCACTATCATCTGCCACCCGGCTGTAGCTCAGGTGGAGCACAGGTGGCAGAGCAGATCAGCCACTAACCAGAAGGTCGGTGGTTTGATCCCAGGCTGCTCCAGGCTGCATGCCAAATATCCTCGGGCAAGATACTAACCCCATGTTTGCCTACTGGTGGTGGTTAGAGGGCCCGGTGGCGTCAATGTCCGGCAGCCTCACCTCTGTCAGTGCGCCCCAGGGCAGCTGTGGCTACAATGTAGCTTGTTTTTATTACATGAATGACTGAATGTAGTGTGAAGCGCTTTGGGGTCCTTAGGGACTAAGTAAAGCGCTATACAAATGCAGGCCATTTACATTCTTAACTTTAACAAATGAATTTCTAACCCTAACTCAGACTTTCTCGTCCTCTCTACCACCAGTCTAAATCTTCCGACAAGAACCGTCACAAGAAGCCCAAAGATGTGAAGCCTAAAGTCAAAAAGCTCAAGTACCACCAGTACATTCCTCCAGACCAGAAGGCAGAGAAGTCCCCTCCGCCCATGGATTCGGCCTACGCCCGACTCCTCCAGCAGCAGCAGCTCTTCCTGCAGCTGCAGATTCTCAGCCAGCAGAAACACACTCATGCGCAATCGCAGACACAGCAGTCGCAACAGCCGCATACCCACACTCCGCAGGCCCAAGCCCAGGCTCAGGCTCAGGCTCAGCAGAGGCAGCCCACTTTCAGCTATCAACCCCACACACCAGCTCACACCCAGAAGTAAGTAGAGAACATATCTGATGAAATCTCCTCAAATTATCTACTGCAAACTTGTGTAGGGGGGGTTAATAAAAGTAATGCTACATCTTACTCTTAAGTGTGATCCAAAACAGTAAATAGCACAAAAAACATGAACTGAAAGACTTTAAAATGATGTAGATTAGGGAAGAAATCTGGGATCTGATTACTTTCTGTAGGTTTGAGCCATGGTTAATGTCAGAACAATAATAAACTCCTTACATCTGCATCAGTAAATATGAGATCCAGTTTTTAATTTACCATCTTACATACTGCAGACCCATGTAACATGTGGTGCATCCACCAATGTAAGCAGTCAGAATGTTTTGGCTCATCAATATATATATATTTACTTTTGGGTAATCTTCTTCAATTGCTCCATTCCAGAGGAGTCAGTGAGCAACTATCGGCTTGTAGTTCCAGTGCCCCGTCGAGCACAGCCAACAGTAACTCATCCTCTCCAGTCAAGAACACATTCCCCAACCAAAGCAACATCTCACAAGTCAAACCTGGGCCCCTGCCAGCTAATCTGGATGACCTAAAAGTAGGTGATACTAGAGAGGAACATTCTGACAATCTTCTCTCCTTAACATACATATGTAATCCTTTTTATTCTCCTTTTTTTTCTTTTGCCCTGCAAGGTTTCAGAGCTGAGGCAGCACCTGCGTATTCGTGGCATGCCTGTCTCAGGCACCAAGACTGCCCTCATCGAGCGACTCCGGCCCTTCAAAGACTCCAACACTGGCTCCTCGCCCTCGGGATCCTCTGATATCACCACCATGACCTTTCCTGTCACACCAACAGGGTCCTTGTCCTCCTACCAGTCCCCATCCTCCTCCAGCGCTCTGTCCCAGGGAGGCTATTACCCGTACCCCAGCACCTCCTCCACCCCACCCATCTCGCCGGCCTCCTCTGAGCTGTCCCTCAGCGGTTCACTCCCCGACAGCTTCAGCGATGTGCCCATGTCTTCGCCAACACAGTTTGCCCTTCATCCATCTCCTGCCCAGCTCGGCGTGGAGGATGGCTTTGGGGGAGGAGGAGGTGGCAGCATGGGTGGGGCAGGTCAGAGGATGGGGGAGGTTGGTGGTATGGATGGTGTAGAAGCCGAAAAAGACAAGATGCTGGTGGAAAAGCAGAAGGTGATCGAGGAGCTGACGTGGAAATTGCACCAGGAGCAGAGACAGGTGATGATCTGTTTCTGCTTCCTAACACTTCATGGTGGATCTTAAGAGAATGAAGGCATTTCACCTCTCATCCGAGGTTCCTCAGGTCTAAAACCAAAAGCTGGACCCATGACTTTTTTCACAACTTGGGCCATGTGATTACACACTAATTAATAGGTCAGTGCTTCTTGAATGAGAGGTGAAAAGTCTGCTTTTTTTCAAGCTCTTAAACCTACCACTACATGCTTTGCTAGTCAACAGGTGGATGTAAAGTAGAGATGTTAAGAAGGCTAATTTTCATTTATCAAGTCTATGTCATAGGCAGCCATGAAACTGCAGCATCTAATACTAATGCAACAATCAATCATGTTATTATTTATAAAGTATTGAGTTGTAAATTGAATGCTCTGTGATCATGCTTATTAGGTTGAAGAGCTAAAGATGCAACTCCACAAGAGAAAACGTTGCTATGGAGCAACACAGGATACGGTCCCTCCTGCATCTCATCCTCCCATGCACCACCAGCAGCACCAGACACCAGCCATGATGGGGCAGCATTTTTTTGGGGTGACTATCAAGCAGGAGCCTTTGTCTTTGTCCTCCAGCTGCCCTCTGTCCTCCCCTAAACAGCCTAAGTGCCCTCCTGGTAGCTGCAGAGAGGATATGGGACACTGCAGTTCCTCCATTACCAACATGGGGGGGCCCGGGGGACCACAGTGTATGGATACAGGCCCTGCCTCTGGCAGCCCCACCGCTATGTCCACCTTCCTCAGCCCACAGTGCTCACCGCAAGACTCTCCTATCAGAAAATCTTCCAGCAGCCCACAGCCTTCATCTCCTAACAACCCCTACCTGCTGTCTCCTCAACTGGGGAGGGATGGCTGTAGTCACCCCCACACCCAGGGAAACAACAGAGCATGCAACATGCAGGTATGATGCCTTTATATTTAGAATAACCATTTTTTCTGACTTCTATTAGATAATATAATTAAAACAAGAAGCAGTATTTATTTTTAAGGGAATAGTATTGTATTTTATATATATTTATTTAGTTTTCTTTGTTCTCTTCTAATGTACTTTGAGATGTTTACCTTGAAGACCATGGTGGATTTGAGACAATAATTTAACCAATGTTTTTAACATGACCCCACTTTACACCCCTACGAAGTTTAATCAAACTATCCTGTTTAGAGACAGAAAGAATGATATGGACGCAAACAAACGCTACCAAAAACATAACCTAATCAAGGTTTGTTTAGCTTTATATTGCTATTTCTTTATTTTCTATGGATATTTTGATTTTTGTTGCGATTTCTTTTAGCATTTATATATTCCTGTATTTGCTGTCATGAGATCACCAAAATCATTAGGCATCATCATCATCATCAGTGGGCTGCATAAGTAAATGTATATTATAGTATAAAAGTTAAAGAAAACCGACATAATACTTATCTACATTTTTAAATGTGGGCAGCCACCAACTAGCACAGAAACATATGTAACTAGCATTAGCTTTTACAATTTCCCATCATCTGCATCTCTGGAAACATGTTCAAAACAGTATATGTAAATATTTATTTCATATACAAAATATGCTCTCTTAGTTTAGGTGGGGTTTTTTTTACTCTTTTCTTCTTTTGTTGATTTCTAACGTGTTTGGGGCATTTTATTTTTGGCTAACTATAGATGCAGCAAAAGAGTGGCGGTCCGCCTATAAACTGTTCCTATCCTTCCGACCAAAGAGGTCTTCAGGGAGTCTATCCCAGCTCAGCTGACTGTGGCCTCAACAACAGCAGCCCTGCTAAGGCTGAGAGCCAGAACATGCAACCAAAGGTAATTTTCTATCCACATGACCAGCATTTTACAGCATCGTCACATCAGCATCATTTACTTCAGCTGAATCATCTCACATTTATGTTACTGTTTTCCTTTCTTCTCTCCATTTGTGGCCTGTCTCTGTGTATTATTGTCTTTTGTTGTGAAGTTCATTTTGTCATAACTTCATATCAGTTTTCATCATATATTCCTTGACATGTCAGTGACATTTCCTTTACAAGACGACAACGCCAAATCATTTTTTAGAGTAAACTTTTCACTGTGATGAGATTTTTTAAACGCGAGGGCCTAATTTGGGTAAATCCCCCTATAATATACTAATATCACTTTTCACCTATTTCCCATATAGATGTCAGTTTTGCCAAAGTGCCAGGTCCCTCCCCCTGCCTTCAGTAGCTCAGATTCAGATGCATCTGACTTAAGACAGCCCCCATGCTATGAGGATGCAGTCAAACAGGTAAACTCAAATCCATGATAAAATTCAGTAGAGATGGCTGGCCAGAAATTTATTTGACCTTTTTTTGGGCGTTGCTCTCATTCCACTCTTCCTCCTGTGGTCTGTCTTGTTTTTTCTTTCTTCTATTTTTATCTGTGTTGTAGTTTTTGTTTTCATCCATCGCTTTGTTCACTGCACTTTTATAGCTATTATGACAACAGCATTATAGTGATTTTTTTTAACCATCGTAATTATGTAAAAATTTGTTACAGTCGACAAAATATTTTCTTCATTATATTAAACTGTAAAAAAAATGCCTACAGTGTTGTGAAATGTCTTGTTTTGTTTGCACATAAAAGGGATTTTTCCACTTAGACATAAAAAGGATAGTGAATAATTAATAATTATTAGAACACTTGTTGTAGCTCTACGTTTTTGACTATGAGCAAAACTAAATTTCTGTTACCTTCTTAATTTTGCCAGCAAAGCAAAATAAAGCACAGCTAAATTTTTTAAAGCCAATTAAAATATTTCTGTTTCTCTGAAACAAGCAAAAAAAAAAACTCTATCTTTTAAAGCTAGTAAAAGGGGCCAAGTCCCGTTTTAGGAGCTAGAAAGTTAAAAAAAACAAAAACAAAGACAACCAATTCTGCTTTTTAAGCGTTTAAAATTTCTGCTGATAAAAGGAACGCACTTTTTGTTACTGTTACAGCAACTGACCCGAAGTCAGCAGATGGATGAGCTTTTGGATGTGCTCATAGAGAGTGGAGGTAAGGATTCATTCTATAGATCCTATTGGCTGAAGACGAAAGCATTTGAAATCACTACCTGTTGTTCACAGTCTTACCTGACACATTGAACCTGCTGTGACCCTCCCTCCTCTCCTCTTTCTCTTCAAGAGATGCCAGCTAACGCCAGAGAAGAGAGGGAGAGGTCCTCTGTAACCAAAGTTATGCCTCACATTACTGTGTCCCCAGGGTGTCCCGGCCTCCTCATCCCGTGGTTTCACCGACATTACGAGCACCTCTCCCCCAACCAGCTCCCTTACGACCACGCAGCCAATCACGTCACCGAGAGCCACCCAGACACTCTGCTTGGCAGTCCCGTCGGCCGCGGAGGGGAGGTACTTCTTCTTAAAATGGCAGCGGAGGATGGGGGCCAGGAAGATGAAGGGAAGCGAGAGGTTGATCGGTACAGCAGCCCTCAGAATCATCATCACTCTCATCATCCACAACAGGACAAACTTCTGAGCAACCGAGATCTGATGGACACGTCTCTCTCGGCCATCGGCAGTAAGGCATCCGCCAACCCCGAGGTGCAGGGAATGGTCAGCATGACCTTTAGTGAGACGGCTTGGGAGACAATGGAATGGCTCGACCTGACACCACCCAGTTCTGCCACTGCCTTCAGCATTGCTCCACCCAGTGCACCAAGCATTTTTAATGCCGAGTTCCTGGATGTAACAGACATTAATTTGAACTCTGCCACAGACCTTCACCTGGAGCACTGGTAAAAACAACACTGTCCCTAAAGTGCTGGTTAGCAGCATACCAGCCATCGAACTCAAGACACCAGCTTGCAACTAGCTGCACGGACTTCTGATATTAGCTATGACAATACCAAAGACCTATTTAATTCTGTTCTTAACAGCTTTAAATGTTCACGTGTTGCTCCTCTCTATGATCCAGTGGAATGTATAACCATTAGCAAATATGCAAAAGCTGAAATCTAAGCCAGAAAAACTGAACAATTGTCATATCCCAACCTTTCCACTTCACTGAAATGTGGTTCTTATGTTGTCGTCATACTCAAAAACTAAAGACCTGGTGCTTTTTGGCATGATCTTGATGTGCACAACTACCAAGTACTTATGACAGCGGACATAGTGTCAGAAGAAGCGTTAATGTAACTTAAAAACCTGATTACAGTATTTTACGCCAACATTTAATACAGTATCAGTGCTATGACTTGAAGACACAGTTTGACTTTCATTGTATACTTTGAGTTATATATTTGTACTGGAAAAAAACCCAGAGAGGACTTAACAGGTGAATTGGAGAATTGGATTGCTTAGTAATGGCCATACTGTAAATATCAAAACTGACAGAGATAAGTTGCCGTCTACATATTATGTCAGAGGTGTGGAAGAACATACAAACAACAAATCAAATGCTTTCTGTAATCACTTCATTATTTGATGTAAATATGATTTTTTTCAATTCACTGTGCACCTCTAGCTTAATAAACACTTGTCACAGTTTGCTTGAACTTAGTATATGTGTATAGGTTAGGTCATTTGAAGAAATCTTTTTGTACTTATTTGTTTTCCACTATTATCCACAGGATGACACCTTTAAAAGAATTATCTTATCAGTTTATATCAGCAGCCAAATACTGCCTTATTTGCAAAAGCTTTTTATTCCCAAATTTTAATATCAAACGACTGCTCCCCTGGAAGTTGTTGACTGATGTGATTTAGATGGCTCCAACCATGTAAAGCTCACATCTAGTTTTCTCTCTCTTTTTTGGTCATTAAAATGCCAGCTTTTCTGTTCCCATTTACATTTATTTATTTTGTGCTTTTGTATTTATAGTTGATCCTGTATTTATACATTCCTTTAAAACAGATTGGGGCTCTATATGATGTATGAAAAAAGTACCATTATCGATCACTGACATTTCTTCATTATTAGTTCTCTTAAGAATGTGATACAAAGTAAAAGAACCACTTTGAAAAGCCATGTTTTCCTAACTTACTTTTCTTAAAAAAAAAAAAAAAAAAATTGTAATTGACAATTCTTAGCACTTGTTAATAGGATGGTGTAATATAATCAAATTTTTACTGTGAATACTGGATATTAATAAAGAATAGACTTTCACAAAAGCCAGCCTAGATAAACCTATTATGCACAGTAGTTATAGGTGAGAATGACAAACTCAAAAACAAATAAGGTTTTAGCTTTGATTAGTAAATGCATTTTTATGCACCTAAAAACTTAGATTAAAAATTAAGGAAATAAGTATAATTTCTTGCATACCTCCTTTTTATCTGTCGCTGACTGTAAAGCTACAGCTAGCAGTTTGTTAGCCTAAATTGCATAAAGACTGACAGATGGGGACAGACCGAAGTGGCTTTGTCTTCAAATCACAGAATCAGCCTACCAGCACTTCTGTTTTATGTTCCTAGTTACATCTGTTCATTCATTCTCAAAAGACCCAGTAAGCTTCATTCATTGTTCACAGTACTCACCGTCTTTTCCAAATTAGCATTATCTTAGCTAGCTCATTGGTCATTAACTTGAAAACATGATATTAATTTTACTCCACATAAACTTGTTCTATTTAATGTGAGTATTAGACATAATACAAGTTTTATTAGCAAAATGCTAAAATAAAGTGCTTTTTCGTGCAGTAAGAGTAATACTAGCAAAACTAGCAGTCTAGATTTTAATATTTGTTTTTTCAGACTCAGAACACCCGAGGAGACAAAAAGAAAACTTTACTAATATGTATTTTCTTTTCATTCATGTTCTGTGCTTGAGCAAATTTTTAATGGCAGTCAGCTTGCTTTTACACTTGAACCAGAAGTGCTGGTAGGTGTTAGCTACATAAAGTGTTTCTACCTTATTCCAGTCTTTATGCTAACATCACCACCTAGCTATTTTACAGACAGATGTAAGTGGTTTTGATCTTAGAAAGATGTGTCATTTCCAGTAATATAAAATTATGACTTCAGTTCCTTGGCTAATAAACCTCGTCCAATTATTCGTGTCGTCTGTAACCATGGTTCTCATGTCATGTTGACCAAATTTTTTTTTTTTGTTTGTTTGTTTTTGTTTTTTTTTTAAATGAAGTGTTGCACTTGAGTGGCTTCTCTGGTTACATGTTAGCTATTACCCATCTTCAGTATATGTCAAAGCTAATACTTTATTTCCTGTCTTCTGTTGTCAGAACAACTGTCCTTTTCTTAATTATTTTTGACAAATCTTTAAATATTTTCCCTAATTAAGAGAAAAGTAATCTGACAGAAGCTTCCATGTTGCTTGGCCACTGACTTGCCCAAGTCCCTGTATACTACAAAAAAAGACAGCAATAAACTTATCACTTATCAAAATTATTTTGGCAGTTTTTTCGTGTCTAAATTACAAGAAACACACAATACAGGTTTCCAATCTTTTACGTGGGAACTTTATTTGTAACCATCGATGAAGATACAATATAATATTCATTGCCCTTAATAATATCTTATAATCTAATATGAACATTCTAGTAATTTTGCAATTTATACAACATGTACCCTGGAGATTCACCAGCGTCAAGTTAGCTTCCTGGAAACACATGACAGACTACAACAGCTCTAGAGACAGTTTGAAGTTAAACAGCTCCATCTGTGGGCTTTCTCTGGGGTCTGCACCATTTCGTGTTAGACATAGAAATGGAAAGTCGCTTACCAAAAGAATCGTGTGGGTTCTACAACGTCGCCACCTATGCGGTTGTAATGTGTTGCCCTCCCAAACAGGCCAAAAATATTCAACATTTTAAACAAGCCACACTAAAACGTCCCCAACCCACTCCAATGGTGGTAGTTTCTGGGAGACACATGTAAAAGTCCCTACAGTGTCCCACACTTAAAGGACCATCATCCATACAGTTTGGTTAATAGCTATCGCCAAGTAATGTGATATTTGTCTCGCCATTCTGTGGAAATGGTAAATTTCCACAGAATGGTAAATGTGGCTTTCTGAAAAGAAATGACAACGGGTGCATCTCAATAGTCTCAAAATTGTGGCCTCCCATTGACCTTCTGCCACACAATTATGTAAAACTCCAGAATATTACTATAACTGACAAAGGAAGACAGGTGAGGCATTTTGGATTATGGAGATGCATCAGAGTTTAATGCATGGTTTGGCATGGAAATATTCTATCATCAGTGCAAGCCAGAAAGACATACTAAGTCATGGAGAAGCATGCCGAGTCCGTGGTGAACTTAAGGACGAAAACGCGTAGCTGTGTGGAGTGAGATTCCTCTTCTCCCGACAGTTCGGTAGTTGGTATGGAAGTCAATAGTTTGTGATTTAGCAGCATTTACAGTTTTGTTTTTTTTTTTGGTTTTTTTTGACAGAACTCCCATGCCTAGACTTTTAAACTTTTAGTTACTGCTGCTATATGGCAGCACGGTGGATCTGTGATCAGTGTGGATGAGAAGTTTAACTGTACAGCGCTATGACAGGTGGAATTAAGGCTCATTCCTAAACTAAAAGAATTTGCACCTAACACCTATCTTGGTGCTTGGATCTGTGTTTAGGAATCAGCCTTAACTGTTGAGCAGAACCTGCCAGTAACAGCAGGTTAGGTGTTCTATGTACATACACATTTACAGTGGACATAATGTCCCAAACTAACTTTACACCAGGGTAGAGGGCATCTTCCACTACTCGCAAGGAAACGAGGATGTTTTTGTGGGACAAAAAGTGTGTAGCCTGGGAGACTTCTGGGTGGTCCTGAAAGAATGACAGTATGACTTAATGCAAACTGATTGCATTTAAAAATGCAGGTGAAGGCATTTAAAAGAAAAAAAAATTACATTGTTGGGATCAAGCCTATAAAGCAATGGAAAAATAAGACTGAAAAGGCCAACCAGAAGACTATTACTGTAAAGGTTTGGGGCCATCATCCACTAGGTTCCTGCAGCAGAATAGGTTAATGTAGCACTGGATTAGCACCACTTAAAAGTCTCTTGTGTTATCATTTTGGCAAAGTCAAAAAATTAAGTCTCTTTTTTTTGCGAAGTTATTCTTGGAGACCAAAATAGGTACACCATTAGCCCAAAGAATATACAACTTACTTGATTTATATAATGTGAACCAAACTTTTTTACAAGTTAGTAGTGGCGACTGTTTCTCAATCAGTACATTAACTGCGAAATGTTGTTTGTTTGTTTTTGTTTTTTTAAATAACCTTGTTACCAATAAATGCCTGGTTAGCTAAAGGCAATACAGCTTGTTTGAACTACATGGGTTTTACAACACTATTTAAAAAAAACAAAACAAAAAAAACCCACGAACAAAAACAAACATTTACTTGTAATGTGCAAAAATGAAACAATGTTTACATGTTTATTTTTTCCTGTTTTTTTTAAGCGCATTTTACAAAGCTACAGATCTTTTACCCAATGCTTTGTTGTTTTGCTAGCATCAAAGACCTATTACCATATATCTAACTACCTTGCTTACCGCAAATAAAAAAAAATAAATAAAAACCACACATACCGTTAGCTAGATGTTAAACTTGAATTTATTAGCATGATAATAGCGTAACAGTCTTTTCTATTTCCTCATCCATTTGACTAGAACTATATAGTAGAAAAATATACATTTCTATTCAGTTAGTATACCTTATTTTACCAATCTTAACCTTTTTTTAACTTTTTTTTTTGGACAGAATTATTTAACATATATTTTGCTAGTCCGCTTCTCATCTTAGCTAGCTATTGTTACATCATCTTGTCCTTTGTCTTTTTTTATTAACAAAAACCTATAAAGGATATTTTGGAAGCATGCGTTGTTTTTTGTTTTTTTTAACCCATCAATTGTCTTTAGCTGTAGCTACGTCTTTGAATGACAAAAATCCAGTTACATTAAACCAGGTGTTGCCATTTGATATTACTTCTAATTAGGAGTTTCTACCACCAGCTCTGTTCAACAAGACTAACACAGGAAATTCTCAATCAAAAAGAGATTCTTAGATTTATAACTCAAACACAATGATAACAAAAGAGACGAACTGAGGCTAGTTTGTGAGAAATGGCAGTTGTCTTATTTTTCTATCAAGACAGCTTCTCACAGATTGCATATTGGGGGAAAGTGAAAAAGAAAAGAAAAAGAAAGCTGCGCTACCAAATCCACGAGTGTTCCACACAGAAACACTCTTGCATACTCAACCATTTGCTGTGAGTAAAGGTGCTCTCAATCAAATGCATGAAAAGACTGTTGAGACAGCAGATCTATCTGTATACATTTGTACATGTCAACAGTTCAGAGGTGAACACACATATGCAAACTTACAGTCCACAATGTACAATCCACTGGGTGGCTATTTTTGTTCATACATCAAGAGCGTCACTGCTCACCACTTTATTTGGTAAATTCTGCGCGCGCGCACACACACACACACACACACACACACACACACTTTTACTAAGACAATGTTCTCGCTTCAAGTTTTTCTGGCTGAAGATAAATGACAATATTATGGGATTTTAAAATGAGGTGAAGGGAGGTTGAAAGGTTTGCTTAAGGATATTTGTCTCATTGCACTGAGCAATTTGGACTTCCTTTGTTCTTTGGAACACGAGAAAGAAAAAAAAAAACAAAAAAAAAAACTGGTGATCCCACCTAACTCTTAGGGCTAAGATGTCAAACGTCGCGTCACAAAACTTGGTGTCCAACCCACTGTTGGCTAATGACCCCCCTCCCCCAACCCTCACTGGACTAACTGTCAGTCGACATACATGGGCGAGATAGGAGAGGCAGGGATCTGATCCAGAATGCGACACACATAGCTGGCGACGTCCACAAAACGCTCCTCATACATCAGAATGAAAGGGTGTTTCTACAGGAGACATACACAAAGCTGAAGTGACAATTCGTCCTGTATGAGGCAGCTAATTTAAAGTTGGTTTAGCCTAAATCCTCAAATATCACAGAGCTAGGAGTTGGGGTAAAATTGTATTTACTGCAGTAAATAAAAATGACTTTTACATTTCAATTTTAAGTAGTATTGAAACTCACCAGAAGCTCCTTGTACTTTGGCCTTTTTGATTCATCCTTTGTAAGGCTGGACAGACAAAAAAAAGAACAAATCAGAGGCAATGTGCCAAATGTAGTGGGCATAAAAATGTTCCCCAATCAATTTTTACGTGATTGTGCTTACCATAGGTTAACAAAGTTGGTGAACTTGGGGGAGAACTGCCTCTCCTCTGAGTTGCTGAGCTGGGGAGGCTCGCCTTTTACCACCTGCGTCAGCTGATCGAAAACACTATTCCACTTAGGGTAGGGGAATCTTCCTGTTGCCAGCTCATACTGATAACAAACAGAAAGAGAACCATGATTGTCTAACACTGTGGATTTATCCTTATCGCAACAGCTTAACTTAATAAAACCCTTGAGTCTTACCAGGGTGATTCCCAAACTCCATACATCGGACCGGACATCATAGCCTTGTCTAGAAGCACTGGGGTCTATCCTTTCAGGCTGCAAAATGCACAAATGGAAATATTCTGTGATACACAGATAATTCATTAGACCCCATAAGACAGTATTTCACTCTATCATACAAATGCAAAATACATGTCAGTCACAACAATTTTAAATCCAATGACACATGAAGTGAACTTGTCATTAAATGCAAAGTTCTACTGAGGATGCCCATATAAATGGCATATATGGAATTACTTTAAGGTGTACTGCCGACCTAAACACTGTCAGAAATCCTTCATAGACTCTCTCCCAACTGCAACACCCTCTGTGCAGTGAAAACTACTGAGGAATGACTTGACACACAGCTTAAGCCAGGGGCAGACAATTAATTTTCCCAAAGAGTCACACGAGAAGCTGGACTGTTGCGGAGGGCGATATTAATAAGCTGAACTCAATTCTGCTCAGTATTAATTTGATCTCTCCACAACAGTTCCACTTCTCATGTGGCCGCTTGGGAAAATTAATTGCCCACCCCTGGCTATAGGTACTGAACTGGTCTCCAACCTCTCTTCAGCAAGCCTGATTTATTACAATCCAAAGGATCAGTTGCTCGACAGCACAGGTCTGTGCCCCCATTGGTCAGAACTGAACACAAGGGTAACCCATGCAATATTAAGCAGAAGATTTAAATGTTTTGGCTGCTTGGGGTGCACTCTGCAAGGTATGAACAACTCAAATGAAGGTTCTTAATAAATATGATAATAACATCAACCCGTTTTACTCCTTCACATGTAACTGATGCATATTTCTTAATCAGTGCAGTTGATTACTTACTGCCATGTAAGGCCTGCAGCCTGCATCTCTGGTCTTGGCTATGGAGTCCACCAGCTGGCCGCTAATGCCAAAATCGCACAGTTTGATATTCCCCTTTCGGTCCATAAGAATGTTGGAAGGTTTGATGTCTGCAAACACAGTAAAGGACGACCTAACTATAATGTAACTGGGACAAGAGTTAATTAGTAATAGCTGATTAGAATAAAATGAGAAAACTTACCTCTGTGAATTATTTTCAAGTTTTCTTTTAAGTGGTTCAGTGCTTTAACGGTCTGTTAAAGAGAAAAAAAAAATCTTTGGTTAATTATTTGATGCTATGCATGCCATTACAGGAAAATGACATTACATGAATATGAAATCGTTGCTTACTGCTAATGTTATTTTGCCTAATATTTCCTCTGGAATGACGTCATCTAATGCACAATATACATATTTGTAGAATTTGTCTAATGAGGTAGACATAAGTTCCATACAAATCCAACAGTCCCCCTGAAACAAAGACATAAAGGTTAGACTCCTTCAAGAATTTGCAATCAACTGAATGAATCAGGTATATTTTGTTTCTGTAACATAAAAAAAAAAAGACAGGTGGGTGTGTTTTTCAGACCTCCCTGAAGAGGGCGCCATAGAACTGCACAATGTAGGGACAGTCACTACTCCTCATCACTACATCAAGGTCCATCAGCAGCTGCTTCTGCTCCTTCTCATCCACAGTGGAGCGAATCCTCTGAGGGACACATCAGAAAACAGACATGCATGTTTCAGCCTCACACTTTTAATCACATTTCTAACTTTAGCAGCATTAACAAGAGAATTCATTTCTGAGAGAGCAATGGACATGAATTGAACAGCCTTCATTTTTGTTATTTATTATACCTTGCAAGTTCACCTGCTATCACCGTGTGCATGCTGGGTTCAATAAAAGTAATGCACATAAACCACTCAAGCCATCCACATCCACTTAACAGTGAGAGGTCATTTGACCACAACACTGATGCTAGTTCAGTCAACCTTTGTTTCAGTCAGAAATGAAACTGTTCAACCCTAAAATGCATCGGCGAAACTAATTCCAATGAGCTTGTTATGGTGTTATTCAAAATTCAACAACGCATTTTTCCTAAAATCAGAGTCTGTCAGTATGTCATCTACACAATGAATGCTTCTAAAAAGGCTGTCAGAATAAGCTAACATGTAACCACCTGCAGTGCACACTGCATGCCATCCAGGTGTGTGGGCAGACTGCTGCTGCTTGCACAGCTAATGTTAGTCACACTTTGAGAGACGTTTACTGTCAGACTCGTTTTAGTACAATCGACTAAAATATTAGTTGGTTGGGACGTCTTTGCAAGACTGAGTTCAGATGCCTGTTGATCACTAAAGACTGGCCTCTAGTGACGTGACATTTTCATGCAGTACACTACAATATATGACCTCAATACAGCAGCTCTGCATCAGCTTAACAAAAAGTAGAGAAGCACCTAGAGACTGGCCAGAGACTGGAATTGGTTGATTTCATGCATTCTGGAACCTCACTGGTCACTGGCTGGTCACTGTTTGGTCAGCCTTCCATATGTTTGATTACATCCGTTTTATGCATGTGCAATACACGCACAGCAGCTCAGGCAAATATTTTCACGTACACTCAAAGCCTAACATGTGGATGCTCCTCAGTGCTAGACTCAAAACATTTGTTGTAGTTTGATTGAATTCTAGTCAGCAGTCTCTTAATTTAAGACAGACATTTCAGTCTTTTTTAAAAAAAAAAAGCAGACTACAGGAAACAAACTTCTCCAGATCACTAATAGTCTATTATTGGGCTACCTTGACAGCCATGATCTGGCCTGTGGGTTTGTGGACCATCTTGTTGACGGAGCCATACGCCCCACGGCCAATCTCACCAAGGTCTCTCAGATCCTCTGCAGTGAAGTCACAGTGCTGCTCAGGGGAGATCTTCAGCTTCCCAGATGACTCAATACTGTGTGTCCGTAGGCGCTCTCTGTTGAATGTGGGACGATGACAGCATTTAGATTTAATCACTTATATTTTAATCAGAAATTAATTCTATGTGAACTGTAAAGTTTCCATGAACCGGCTTTAAAATCTGATTGGGTATTTGGGATTTGACAAGATGGCAAAATATGAACATAGTATTTGTAATATTTGTATCATTAAAAAAATCCCCTCCTGATATTAAAGGTGCAGGATGCATAAAGATTAGACCACCATTAGTGCTATTAAGCAGTATTTCTAAGGATATGTCCCAACTTAGACTGCATGTTGTGCAACCAGAAATATGAACATGTGCTGAAAAACAGTCGTGTCAGTGATTTTGTGCCATTGCACAGCACTCAACAAATTGCCAGGAAATGTAGCAACATGTCAGCTTAAAAAAAAAAAAAAAAAACTTCTAGCACGCTAAGGTGGTTAGCATAAAAACCAACTCTACAAATGTTTTACACAGTAGCAAATGTAGTCAGTACATTTCTGTTGTCATAGTAACTTGAAGAGATTTTGGAAAATTGCTCACAAAGAAACTTAATAATCAAAACGTACTTCCTGAGGTTATGAAGCAAATGAGCAGTGTTGTTTCTCTGTAATTCTACAGGAGACATACACAAAGCTGAAGTGACAATTCGTCCTGTATGAGGCAGCTAATTTAAAGTTGGTTTAGCCTAAATCCTCAAATATCACAGAGCTAGGAGTTGGGGTAAAATTGTATTTACTGCAGTAAATAAAAATGACTTTTACATTTCAATTTTAAGTAGTATTGAAACTCACCAGAAGCTCCTTGTACTTTGGCCTTTTTGATTCATCCTTTGTAAGGCTGGACAGACAAAAAAGAACAAATCAGAGGCAATGTGCCAAATGTAGTGGGCATAAAATGTTCCCCAATCAATTTTTACGTGATTGTGCTTACCATAGGTTAACAAAGTTGGTGAACTTGGGGGAGAACTGCCTCTCCTCTGAGTTGCTGAGCTGGGGAGGCTCGCCTTTTACCACCTGCGTCAGCTGATCGAAAACACTATTCCACTTAGGGTAGGGGAATCTTCCTGTTGCCAGCTCATACTGATAACAAACAGAAAGAGAACCATGATTGTCTAACACTGTGGATTTATCCTTATCGCAACAGCTTAACTTAATAAAACCCTTGAGTCTTACCAGGGTGATTCCCAAACTCCATACATCGGACCGGACATCATAGCCTTGTCTAGAAGCACTGGGGTCTATCCTTTCAGGCTGCAAAATGCACAAATGGAAATATTCTGTGATACACAGATAATTCATTAGACCCCATAAGACAGTATTTCACTCTATCATACAAATGCAAAATACATGTCAGTCACAACAATTTTAAATCCAATGACACATGAAGTGAACTTGTCATTAAATGCAAAGTTCTACTGAGGATGCCCATATAAATGGCATATATGGAATTACTTTAAGGTGTACTGCCGACCTAAACACTGTCAGAAATCCTTCATAGACTCTCTCCCAACTGCAACACCCTCTGTGCAGTGAAAACTACTGAGGAATGACTTGACACACAGCTTAAGCCAGGGGCAGACAATTAATTTTCCCAAAGAGTCACACGAGAAGCTGGACTGTTGCGGAGGGCGATATTAATAAGCTGAACTCAATTCTGCTCAGTATTAATTTGATCTCTCCACAACAGTTCCACTTCTCATGTGGCCGCTTGGGAAAATTAATTGCCCACCCCTGGCTATAGGTACTGAACTGGTCTCCAACCTCTCTTCAGCAAGCCTGATTTATTACAATCCAAAGGATCAGTTGCTCGACAGCACAGGTCTGTGCCCCCATTGGTCAGAACTGAACACAAGGGTAACCCATGCAATATTAAGCAGAAGATTTAAATGTTTTGGCTGCTTGGGGTGCACTCTGCAAGGTATGAACAACTCAAATGAAGGTTCTTAATAAATATGATAATAACATCAACCCGTTTTACTCCTTCACATGTAACTGATGCATATTTCTTAATCAGTGCAGTTGATTACTTACTGCCATGTAAGGCCTGCAGCCTGCATCTCTGGTCTTGGCTATGGAGTCCACCAGCTGGCCGCTAATGCCAAAATCGCACAGTTTGATATTCCCCTTTTTTTTTTTGACAGAACTCCCATGCCTAGACTTTTAAACTTTTAGTTACTGCTGCTATATGGCAGCACGGTGGATCTGTGATCAGTGTGGATGAGAAGTTTAACTGTACAGCGCTATGACAGGTGGAATTAAGGCTCATTCCTAAACTAAAAGAATTTGCACCTAACACCTATCTTGGTGCTTGGATCTGTGTTTAGGAATCAGCCTTAACTGTTGAGCAGAACCTGCCAGTAACAGCAGGTTAGGTGTTCTATGTACATACACATTTACAGTGGACATAATGTCCCAAACTAACTTTACACCAGGGTAGAGGGCATCTTCCACTACTCGCAAGGAAACGAGGATGTTTTTGTGGGACAAAAAGTGTGTAGCCTGGGAGACTTCTGGGTGGTCCTGAAAGAATGACAGTATGACTTAATGCAAACTGATTGCATTTAAAAATGCAGGTGAAGGCATTTAAAAGAAAAAAAAATTACATTGTTGGGATCAAGCCTATAAAGCAATGGAAAAATAAGACTGAAAAGGCCAACCAGAAGACTATTACTGTAAAGGTTTGGGGCCATCATCCACTAGGTTCCTGCAGCAGAATAGGTTAATGTAGCACTGGATTAGCACCACTTAAAAGTCTCTTGTGTTATCATTTTGGCAAAGTCAAAAAATTAAGTCTCTTTTTTTTGCGAAGTTATTCTTGGAGACCAAAATAGGTACACCATTAGCCCAAAGAATATACAACTTACTTGATTTATATAATGTGAACCAAACTTTTTTACAAGTTAGTAGTGGCGACTGTTTCTCAATCAGTACATTAACTGCGAAATGTTGTTTGTTTGTTTTTGTTTTTTTAAATAACCTTGTTACCAATAAATGCCTGGTTAGCTAAAGGCAATACAGCTTGTTTGAACTACATGGGTTTTACAACACTATTTAAAAAAAACAAAACAAAAAAAACCCACGAACAAAAACAAACATTTACTTGTAATGTGCAAAAATGAAACAATGTTTACATGTTTATTTTTTCCTGTTTTTTTTAAGCGCATTTTACAAAGCTACAGATCTTTTACCCAATGCTTTGTTGTTTTGCTAGCATCAAAGACCTATTACCATATATCTAACTACCTTGCTTACCGCAAATAAAAAAAAATAAATAAAAACCACACATACCGTTAGCTAGATGTTAAACTTGAATTTATTAGCATGATAATAGCGTAACAGTCTTTTCTATTTCCTCATCCATTTGACTAGAACTATATAGTAGAAAAATATACATTTCTATTCAGTTAGTATACCTTATTTTACCAATCTTAACCTTTTTTTAACTTTTTTTTTTGGACAGAATTATTTAACATATATTTTGCTAGTCCGCTTCTCATCTTAGCTAGCTATTGTTACATCATCTTGTCCTTTGTCTTTTTTTATTAACAAAAACCTATAAAGGATATTTTGGAAGCATGCGTTGTTTTTTGTTTTTTTTAACCCATCAATTGTCTTTAGCTGTAGCTACGTCTTTGAATGACAAAAATCCAGTTACATTAAACCAGGTGTTGCCATTTGATATTACTTCTAATTAGGAGTTTCTACCACCAGCTCTGTTCAACAAGACTAACACAGGAAATTCTCAATCAAAAAGAGATTCTTAGATTTATAACTCAAACACAATGATAACAAAAGAGACGAACTGAGGCTAGTTTGTGAGAAATGGCAGTTGTCTTATTTTTCTATCAAGACAGCTTCTCACAGATTGCATATTGGGGGAAAGTGAAAAAGAAAAGAAAAAGAAAGCTGCGCTACCAAATCCACGAGTGTTCCACACAGAAACACTCTTGCATACTCAACCATTTGCTGTGAGTAAAGGTGCTCTCAATCAAATGCATGAAAAGACTGTTGAGACAGCAGATCTATCTGTATACATTTGTACATGTCAACAGTTCAGAGGTGAACACACATATGCAAACTTACAGTCCACAATGTACAATCCACTGGGTGGCTATTTTTGTTCATACATCAAGAGCGTCACTGCTCACCACTTTATTTGGTAAATTCTGCGCGCGCGCACACACACACACACACACACACACACACACACTTTTACTAAGACAATGTTCTCGCTTCAAGTTTTTCTGGCTGAAGATAAATGACAATATTATGGGATTTTAAAATGAGGTGAAGGGAGGTTGAAAGGTTTGCTTAAGGATATTTGTCTCATTGCACTGAGCAATTTGGACTTCCTTTGTTCTTTGGAACACGAGAAAGAAAAAAAAAAACAAAAAAAAAAACTGGTGATCCCACCTAACTCTTAGGGCTAAGATGTCAAACGTCGCGTCACAAAACTTGGTGTCCAACCCACTGTTGGCTAATGACCCCCCTCCCCCAACCCTCACTGGACTAACTGTCAGTCGACATACATGGGCGAGATAGGAGAGGCAGGGATCTGATCCAGAATGCGACACACATAGCTGGCGACGTCCACAAAACGCTCCTCATACATCAGAATGAAAGGGTGTTTCTACAGGAGACATACACAAAGCTGAAGTGACAATTCGTCCTGTATGAGGCAGCTAATTTAAAGTTGGTTTAGCCTAAATCCTCAAATATCACAGAGCTAGGAGTTGGGGTAAAATTGTATTTACTGCAGTAAATAAAAATGACTTTTACATTTCAATTTTAAGTAGTATTGAAACTCACCAGAAGCTCCTTGTACTTTGGCCTTTTTGATTCATCCTTTGTAAGGCTGGACAGACAAAAAAAAGAACAAATCAGAGGCAATGTGCCAAATGTAGTGGGCATAAAAATGTTCCCCAATCAATTTTTACGTGATTGTGCTTACCATAGGTTAACAAAGTTGGTGAACTTGGGGGAGAACTGCCTCTCCTCTGAGTTGCTGAGCTGGGGAGGCTCGCCTTTTACCACCTGCGTCAGCTGATCGAAAACACTATTCCACTTAGGGTAGGGGAATCTTCCTGTTGCCAGCTCATACTGATAACAAACAGAAAGAGAACCATGATTGTCTAACACTGTGGATTTATCCTTATCGCAACAGCTTAACTTAATAAAACCCTTGAGTCTTACCAGGGTGATTCCCAAACTCCATACATCGGACCGGACATCATAGCCTTGTCTAGAAGCACTGGGGTCTATCCTTTCAGGCTGCAAAATGCACAAATGGAAATATTCTGTGATACACAGATAATTCATTAGACCCCATAAGACAGTATTTCACTCTATCATACAAATGCAAAATACATGTCAGTCACAACAATTTTAAATCCAATGACACATGAAGTGAACTTGTCATTAAATGCAAAGTTCTACTGAGGATGCCCATATAAATGGCATATATGGAATTACTTTAAGGTGTACTGCCGACCTAAACACTGTCAGAAATCCTTCATAGACTCTCTCCCAACTGCAACACCCTCTGTGCAGTGAAAACTACTGAGGAATGACTTGACACACAGCTTAAGCCAGGGGCAGACAATTAATTTTCCCAAAGAGTCACACGAGAAGCTGGACTGTTGCGGAGGGCGATATTAATAAGCTGAACTCAATTCTGCTCAGTATTAATTTGATCTCTCCACAACAGTTCCACTTCTCATGTGGCCGCTTGGGAAAATTAATTGCCCACCCCTGGCTATAGGTACTGAACTGGTCTCCAACCTCTCTTCAGCAAGCCTGATTTATTACAATCCAAAGGATCAGTTGCTCGACAGCACAGGTCTGTGCCCCCATTGGTCAGAACTGAACACAAGGGTAACCCATGCAATATTAAGCAGAAGATTTAAATGTTTTGGCTGCTTGGGGTGCACTCTGCAAGGTATGAACAACTCAAATGAAGGTTCTTAATAAATATGATAATAACATCAACCCGTTTTACTCCTTCACATGTAACTGATGCATATTTCTTAATCAGTGCAGTTGATTACTTACTGCCATGTAAGGCCTGCAGCCTGCATCTCTGGTCTTGGCTATGGAGTCCACCAGCTGGCCGCTAATGCCAAAATCGCACAGTTTGATATTCCCCTTTCGGTCCATAAGAATGTTGGAAGGTTTGATGTCTGCAAACACAGTAAAGGACGACCTAACTATAATGTAACTGGGACAAGAGTTAATTAGTAATAGCTGATTAGAATAAAATGAGAAAACTTACCTCTGTGAATTATTTTCAAGTTTTCTTTTAAGTGGTTCAGTGCTTTAACGGTCTGTTAAAGAGAAAAAAAAAATCTTTGGTTAATTATTTGATGCTATGCATGCCATTACAGGAAAATGACATTACATGAATATGAAATCGTTGCTTACTGCTAATGTTATTTTGCCTAATATTTCCTCTGGAATGACGTCATCTAATGCACAATATACATATTTGTAGAATTTGTCTAATGAGGTAGACATAAGTTCCATACAAATCCAACAGTCCCCCTGAAACAAAGACATAAAGGTTAGACTCCTTCAAGAATTTGCAATCAACTGAATGAATCAGGTATATTTTGTTTCTGTAACATAAAAAAAAAAAGACAGGTGGGTGTGTTTTTCAGACCTCCCTGAAGAGGGCGCCATAGAACTGCACAATGTAGGGACAGTCACTACTCCTCATCACTACATCAAGGTCCATCAGCAGCTGCTTCTGCTCCTTCTCATCCACAGTGGAGCGAATCCTCTGAGGGACACATCAGAAAACAGACATGCATGTTTCAGCCTCACACTTTTAATCACATTTCTAACTTTAGCAGCATTAACAAGAGAATTCATTTCTGAGAGAGCAATGGACATGAATTGAACAGCCTTCATTTTTGTTATTTATTATACCTTGCAAGTTCACCTGCTATCACCGTGTGCATGCTGGGTTCAATAAAAGTAATGCACATAAACCACTCAAGCCATCCACATCCACTTAACAGTGAGAGGTCATTTGACCACAACACTGATGCTAGTTCAGTCAACCTTTGTTTCAGTCAGAAATGAAACTGTTCAACCCTAAAATGCATCGGCGAAACTAATTCCAATGAGCTTGTTATGGTGTTATTCAAAATTCAACAACGCATTTTTCCTAAAATCAGAGTCTGTCAGTATGTCATCTACACAATGAATGCTTCTAAAAAGGCTGTCAGAATAAGCTAACATGTAACCACCTGCAGTGCACACTGCATGCCATCCAGGTGTGTGGGCAGACTGCTGCTGCTTGCACAGCTAATGTTAGTCACACTTTGAGAGACGTTTACTGTCAGACTCGTTTTAGTACAATCGACTAAAATATTAGTTGGTTGGGACGTCTTTGCAAGACTGAGTTCAGATGCCTGTTGATCACTAAAGACTGGCCTCTAGTGACGTGACATTTTCATGCAGTACACTACAATATATGACCTCAATACAGCAGCTCTGCATCAGCTTAACAAAAAGTAGAGAAGCACCTAGAGACTGGCCAGAGACTGGAATTGGTTGATTTCATGCATTCTGGAACCTCACTGGTCACTGGCTGGTCACTGTTTGGTCAGCCTTCCATATGTTTGATTACATCCGTTTTATGCATGTGCAATACACGCACAGCAGCTCAGGCAAATATTTTCACGTACACTCAAAGCCTAACATGTGGATGCTCCTCAGTGCTAGACTCAAAACATTTGTTGTAGTTTGATTGAATTCTAGTCAGCAGTCTCTTAATTTAAGACAGACATTTCAGTCTTTTTTAAAAAAAAAAAGCAGACTACAGGAAACAAACTTCTCCAGATCACTAATAGTCTATTATTGGGCTACCTTGACAGCCATGATCTGGCCTGTGGGTTTGTGGACCATCTTGTTGACGGAGCCATACGCCCCACGGCCAATCTCACCAAGGTCTCTCAGATCCTCTGCAGTGAAGTCACAGTGCTGCTCAGGGGAGATCTTCAGCTTCCCAGATGACTCAATACTGTGTGTCCGTAGGCGCTCTCTGTTGAATGTGGGACGATGACAGCATTTAGATTTAATCACTTATATTTTAATCAGAAATTAATTCTATGTGAACTGTAAAGTTTCCATGAACCGGCTTTAAAATCTGATTGGGTATTTGGGATTTGACAAGATGGCAAAATATGAACATAGTATTTGTAATATTTGTATCATTAAAAAAATCCCCTCCTGATATTAAAGGTGCAGGATGCATAAAGATTAGACCACCATTAGTGCTATTAAGCAGTATTTCTAAGGATATGTCCCAACTTAGACTGCATGTTGTGCAACCAGAAATATGAACATGTGCTGAAAAACAGTCGTGTCAGTGATTTTGTGCCATTGCACAGCACTCAACAAATTGCCAGGAAATGTAGCAACATGTCAGCTTAAAAAAAAAAAAAAAAAACTTCTAGCACGCTAAGGTGGTTAGCATAAAAACCAACTCTACAAATGTTTTACACAGTAGCAAATGTAGTCAGTACATTTCTGTTGTCATAGTAACTTGAAGAGATTTTGGAAAATTGCTCACAAAGAAACTTAATAATCAAAACGTACTTCCTGAGGTTATGAAGCAAATGAGCAGTGTTGTTTCTCTGTAAACGTCTACACAACAGGACTACTTTTTGCAACCAGGCACTGCCCCCTGCTGGCCTGACAAATTCACTCTAATGTTATCAGGTCCTGAGGCTATGTTCAATTTCTATATACAACCTCTTATCTAGTTCCAGTGACATCATGTCCCAACTATCTTTACTCACATGTGAGGGTTCTGGAAAGAGGGAACTGTTGGATTGAGTGGGAGCCTGGAAGCCGGTTTCACTGGAGGGTTGGCAAAATTCAGTTTCAGAGCTTTGCGTTTACCTGGTAGGACAAAGAGAGAAACAGATGCACAGTGCCACCTCATGCACACCACTCTGTGGGTTCAACCAACTGGTGAAGACAGAGGATACACATGGTGTGATAAAATGCCTTTCTTACCTCAGTATTGTCTTTCTATACTTGAGATAAGTCTCAATATGCCACAGCAACTTAATATGATCCAAGTATAAACACATTCATATGCATTATACAGTTGCATTTGAAAAATATGACTATGAGGGAAGGGTGGGAAAAAAAAAAATCTGTGGCATGAAGTTTTGGAGTTCTCAAGCTCTTCTCAAGCTTCAAGAAAGCAAAAAGTTTTGAACACAAGCAAAAATGTACAGGGGTTCCCAGTGTTCAGATGGTGTACTGCACAAGCTCTTTTAGCTAGAACCTTCTGAACAAATGGCATGCAGCATGTGTGCAAGCTATCAGGCTAGTATGCTGTGCACTAAGCAGGGTGCTAACATTGGGAATCCGTGTTCAGAATGTTTCCATCAATAATCTTTATAAATGTGCATTGTCAACACTAAACAGTTCCCACTGACATGTGAAAGCGACCCAACACTCAAGACAGCACTTCGTTCAGACTGAGGACACATAGGTTGAATTAACTGTTAGGTGCATGTGAGTATAGGAATGCATCACCCAAATAGAGTTGGTAATTAAGTTTAGGCATTGTTGAAAGTGCTGAGTTCAAGTGTTAAGTTGTCTCTGCCATGCCCTGTCCAACCAGCTCCTGAGTGCAAACAGATCCCTTAGCCTTTTAAGCCCCAGTGCAAATGAATCTTTCATGGCAATAAATATATTTGTGACAATTAACAGCAGTGAACAGTGGACAGACTCTCCCACTACCAGAGCACCACACAGGCTGTTTCAGTAGTATACAGTGGCATCCTCTCACCTGTGTTATCCAATTACGCACGTGCATGTATATAATAGTATAAACCATGAATCAAGACTGAAGCTCAGTAACAGGAGGCAAGAATGCCCCCAGTCTTGAATACGGCTACAATAATAGAGGGAAGGATGCTCCTTTACACTACTGAGGTGTCCCCACAAAGAGTAGAGGTCGTGTGCTTTGTGTGCAAGTCTAATGCTTACTTTGGGGTATTCCAGACAGGCTTATCTGAAACCCTGAAGTAAAGAAAAAAACATTTTTACTACATTTTCTTGAAATGTGTTGTTAAGAGTTTAAATGGGCCACGTTTGATAAGTGCCGTCCCAGCATGATTCAATGCTGAAAATGGAAAACAGGTCAGGATACTGAGAACGTGCTTTAGCTGGCAAAAGATGTGCCACATTTTGGTGGGTCTTGCTCAGTGCACTGCCATTTATAGCCGATGTAGTATTTGCTGTATTACTGGCAAAATAGTTAAATTTTAACAGTCATTTCAGTACCATCTTACTTTCAATTTTGAAAACCAATGTTCTGCCAGTCTTGTGGCACTGTGCATATGGCACTACTTTCTGCTGTTCCACTTGCAAATACTACCACCAGAACAATAATCAATTACATGTATTTGTCACTGCTGCCTATATAAAACTGTTTTAGGCTTTTGCAATTACTTCCTGTGACCCCTCTAATCGATAGATAGCAATTGTTGTGCCAAGCTAGGTTAGCTGGCTGCTAGCTTCTTAGCAGTACTAAAAGCATATGGCAAAAAAGCAAATAGTTCAATTTTCCCATATTGCCAAGATTATTATTAAAGTTGGATACTGTATCATCAGTGTATGAAGGACTATAGAAGAATAAGTGGATTGTATTAAAAAGTGACAGTAAAATTAAACTATATTGTTTCCTATACTTGGTTTGGCATTAGCCCTTTTTGCTAACGTATGCTTAGCACTACAAAGTCAAAATACAGCTTATTAAAACGAACTCAATGTCACTGTTTGCCATTGTACCTTAAATGTAAGTATATAAACTAATATCTTAGAAAATTACATTTTTGTGGGGGAAAAAATCAAACAAAGGGCTACACGTTTTAGAGTAAAGCTAGCTGAAAACAGTCTTGCAAAAATTAAATAAAAAAAAAAAAAAAAAAAAAACCCAAAACAAAAACAGTTTGTATTACAAAAATATATTTCATGCTGCAAATTCTTGGTAATAAAGTTAATTACATGCAACTGTTGAATTTAATCACAATGGGGAGTGGGGTGGAGGTAAATAAAACTAATACTAAAAGCTACGATGTTTGTTAGCTTTATAAACAGACAGTAGTAAAATACTATGAACTTAGAAAACACACTAGTGATGACTGGTATTTGCCAGTGGAACAAGACTGATATTCTCTTTTTGTTGGCTTAGCAGAACACCACAGTTTCACAGTGGCCAGCCACTAAAAACTGGCATGTGCCACTTCAACAGCCAAGCTGGTATACCTTTCATACAATGGAAACCACACTTAACAGTGTCTCATCAAATGGGGTCTGTCTACATCAGGTCATTCTAACATAGAAACTCAGTTGAAAACATGCAGAAAAAAAGATGATACAATTACAGGTATTACAAAAATGGAAAACAAAATAACTTTATGCAAACAAAAGAAAAAGACCAACAGAGGGAAGCGATGGGGACATTTCAATAAATTCCTTTGCCAAGATTGGCCCTAAAAATTAAAAATATAGATTTTTTTTTTCAACTCAACAAAAAACGAAATCTCCCCAAATCAGACCAAAACCTTATAAAATAAGTTTGAATACCTGTTTCATTTTGACATCTCCAGCAGGTGTTGGTTTCTGCAAGGTTTAGATAAAACATTTGATACTGCCACAGAGCAAGAAATTACAAAGTCAGATATGGCTGTTGAGGCTTAAGATTAGGCGCTTCATAATCAATAAAATCCAGAGTAAAGCCCTCCTGACATACTAGGAGCACATCCATTATTACATGCAAGTCTGCCGAACCTGCTCTGCTGGCTTTTTCCAGTGAAATGACAACTCTTGGAAGAAAACACAGCTTAATGTATGTGAAGCACTTTACATGTGTGTGTAATCAAGGTTTATGAATGACAATAAGAATTCTATTTAACCCCCCAAAACACCCATCAGCTGTCACTACAAGACTCCCTGTATATCTGCAGAATTTCAACTATAACTGAGAACTCCTACTCTGAGGACTTAGGGTTTCATAGAGGGTGACAAGCAAGTCAGAACAAATAGCATCCTATGGAGCTGTAGCCCAAAAATTGACTTTTTCCCCCTCCTCTTGTAATTACACTTATATGGGGGGTGTTAGTCTTCCATATACCACAGCACCAGGAGCAACTTTACTCCTGACAGCAGTCACCTTCAACTGCTCCTTACACACATTCAAAAGTTTCTGTGGTGATTTATCTTTGCTTCTGAAATCTAATTCTAATTTGTAAACAGAAGTAATCAAGACAAGGCCTAAACCCTCAGGTCAAAGAAGGTGCTTTTCCTGTAAGAAAAACCCTACGGACAAAAGTTCTGTTTGTTACTTCAATTTTAACATAATGTCAATATTGCATTCGCAAAAACTAAACTAATACTCCCTTTTTTAGTTCAGTACTTTTGTCAAGTGTTAATAATTATTTTGGCGATTTTATTCCTATTCGTTGAGGACTCCCTTGCGATCATCCTCTTTTATATGCCCAGTGGATTAATGTAGAATAAGAAAATTTGATTTTATGTAGTAAGTTTCAGTAGACGTTTCTGTTCCTCACAGCACATTATTAAAATGTGTGACCTCACTAAAACAAATCTTAGCTGACTACAGGTTTTGTCACGAGGTCTGCCTGTCCGATAAGAGATGACAGTGTGCGCTCAGAGGCATTAACTAGATAGAGATGTACACTTAACAAATATAAAGGCTTAGACTTTAAATTTATTTTACAAATCGAGGTGATTTGTGTCAACACGTTATGAAACCACCGACAGAACTACCGTTAGCAACACAAGGAAGACAAGTAACGTTATGTATGGCCTGAAGCCAACAGAATTTAATGTTGACACTTAATAGAATTGATAGCCCCAACTTTAACTTTATTAGCTCCATCATTTCTTTGCTACTCGGAGCCAAGCACTGAAACAGTGGCCTGACCGGGGACAGAAGTACACTTCAGTGTAGGCCTTGAGGCTACTTGTAGCAGCCCTCTGCTAATAACAAAGGCGAAAAAGTTAAAATAGTTGGAGAACTCATTTTTTTAAACAACGTAATACTTTTAAGGTAGAGTCGAGATGTACGATTCAAACTTCAGGAATGAAAACACTTGACTATGCCATTACAGGCCCGTTGGTACAACAATTAAACTGAAGCTTGTGCATCATTGCTAGCCTAGCAGCAGTGCAGTTTCAGGGAGATGGAGATGAAGCTAAGCGCAGAAAGACAGATTTAGCGGAAGTCTCACAAGTCAGACGTCAAAGTAAAAGCGCTGCTTGTCAACAGACAATTACTCAGATCCTACAGTAAAGCCTTAGATTAGTTGAGGCTAATCAACTACATGGTGTGAATATTTTTTTAATCTGATTTAACATGTAAAAACTTACATGTGTGATGCTTGTCACTAACTGCTCATTTTAATTTTAATTATGATTAACCAAATAGGTGCACAGATTGACCTTACTCAAAGAAAAGGCGGTTCGGCCACTATTATGGCTTGTTTTAGCAAAAGTGTGCATTTTGCATTAACATAAGCGGAGCATCTGCAACAGATGCATTAAATTGGTCACGTTTCCAGACATGGGCCGCATAACATATTTTATTTTGAAAGTTCTGACCGAAAAGACTTACTTATTGGGTTTCTCTTGGCTACAGTGTTTCTGCTTTTAGGAAGCTAAAGGCTACACTTTCCTACAAACTCTTATGTCCCCAGTAGAAATATGAAACTGTGAACTGGAGCCAGTTCTCGCCTACCTTGCATGCTGCTGCTCTGTGTTTGCTGGTGGAGTTGGTGCGACGTTGATCCTACGATGTTGCTGTTGTTGCTAGAGCTAGTGGAGTTGCTGTTAGGACTGGGAGTCGCCATTGTTGTGTTGAATTCCAGCAGCAGCGCTCAGGCTGCAATGCAGAGAGTGAAACTTCGCCCTCTCTGCCTCCAGACGGGACAATTCGCCACTTGAACGCAACAGCCGCAACGACGGCCACGTCTCTGCTGTTGCTGCTTTTATGGACAATCGGAAATAGCAAATCACGACTTCACAGTTGAACGTTTGACCTGCATAAATAACAAATGTATATAACATATTCTACATTCTGGCTCGTTTGTATCGACTCAATTCTATACTTTTGTTTTATATTCTAAGCGATTTAACACAATATGATGGACAAAAGACAATCTAATGTATTACATTTTTTATTTCGTGTTGAATAATGAAGCTTCCTTTTTTAATTTGTAATATATTTTACTCAGATTTTTATAGTTGGATTTACACTGTTAGATGTGTCAGCTCATCAAAGATAATCAAGGATCACATAATATGTCAAACAGCCTTTGAAATGATACGCAAATTTCTGTCCAGGAAGTTTATGCTTCATTTTTGGTAAAAGAAATTCTGGTGTTTTATTAGTCTGTTGCTTAGCACAAATTAACATATGTGTATATGTATCGGTGGTTTGAATGTAGCCTGCTAATCAGCAGTAGCTGCTAACTAGCACTCCAACCTCACCGGTAAAAGTCTGCCAGTCTGTTATTACAGTCTAAGCTAAAAATGCTACACTTTTAATGTTCAACTCCATAACTACATTTATACCAAAACAACAGAGACAATGGTTACGCCAAATTGAGTATTTATGATGAGATACTCAAGAAACAAGGGCTTGTGTTTGTGGCAGTGAGGCAAATGTGGTGGTCAAGCTTTTTTCTCATCCCTTTTTTGTAAAACAAATGCACCACTACTTTTTCTGTTTCTGGACTGCTCCTACATGTTAACCACAAATCATCGGTGATCAGTATGGGAAACTGACTCCTTCATTTTGATTGCATGTGTTACTTTCTCCTTTGGGGAGAGCTTATAACAAATGCAGAACTTATAAAACATGTTAACTTCGATTTTCTTATTAAACAAACTAATTTATTAATAATTTAGGCACTCTGCATGACGCAAATTTATAAAACGTAAAATAATAATCCTTGTGCCGCCGCAGTCCTCCAAAGTATCCCATTTTAAGAAATACTGCTCTAATGAAGAAACACAAGTATTAGTACGCATCTGTACATGGTAAAATTTCAGGATAAATCTGAGGGCCAAAATGAGTAGCTACATAACATGTCGGGCAGATTTAGCCTTTTACATCTGAGGAGTAAAAACTGCATATGTAGAACCAGCAGTCAAATCAAAAAACACATTAAAACTTTGCTTTGCAATAAAAGTGTCGTTTTTTTCTCCCCTAGGTGGCACTCTTGCTCCACAATGGAACTGGTTCTACCATCAGGCTCTTTAGGCTTTCAGTGTGAAGGAAGAGATGGTTAAATAGGTAATCGACAATGTATATGGAAATACCATACACTGGAGCCTGCTATCACATCATTATATTTATATAACTCCACCCCATGATGAATAACTTAAGTCTCAATTTTTAATTTACCACTAACTTGAACAAATCACACAATGCAAGAAACAGTAGCATTTAATGTATCCACTGAGCATAGATAGGTTTTTATTTTCACTTTATTTCATACAGCCTTAATCAAACACTTTCAATCAAGTGTTGTCACCAATTTGGTGTGTTATCATTCACACGCTGTCATAAATTAAAAACCAACATAAATGCCAATACAATATCTGAGCTACTGTATTTGTAAAGTATGCTGCTGTTTTCATATTATCATATTACAATCCCTTAAATAGTTCCTAATTTGTCAGTGTTTTTCCATTTGAAAATAACTTAAAAAGCTCAGTGCTGTAAAGTGGAAAGCAGCGAGAACACTATCTTCTTGTAAGGTGTACTCATAATATTCCCACTTCTTCAGAGAAACATCCTTCAAGTTCCCAGTCTGAAGAACATTTCTCAAAATCCAAACAGTTCACAGCTCCAGGTGTGATTAAACACAAAAGGACACTTTCAAAAATCTTCTAAATTAGTTCCTAGGTGTATCACTAACTAACTGGTGGACTGGACTCACACAAGAAATAATTCTTCAATAATTCTTTTTCAAGACAGAAGTGATAAAGTTGTGATTCTTTAATTACAGTATGTGTCCTTTTGTCTGGATGGAAACAGAAACACTCGATCTGTGATACTCCCGTATCCTTTCAGCTCCATCCTGTCTCCATATACAGAGACTGTGGCGAATGCATTGCTGTCAGGTGGTGTCTCAATCACCCCATCAACCGTCAGGTGGTGCACTCCTGTATCTTCATCTTGGCAGTATCCACCATCGTGGGCGTGTCCCGCCATGTAACACACCACACTGGTGTGGGAGCGTATGACGGCCAGGAGCTCTTCAAAGTTCCATGCGAGGCAAATGGTATCTGTGCAGTCTGGGTGGATGGGGAGGTGACCTGGATAAAGGAGGAAAAATAAAAACACATGTGTTCTTTTAAATTGTACTAGAAGCACTGGAATGTTGAAGATCAGGCTCTGATCAAGCTGAGCTGGGATCAGCATACGTTCACTTTGGGTTCTTGGCTACCTTTGTGTTAGCATGCTGTCTGTCCAGATGTTTGCAAATGGCTGGTGTTTTGTTAGCAGTGTGATGCTCTTGGTTCTGTGCTGGATGCAGTTTGCAAACCTAGAACCAAGGAAACTGACTGCAGCAGAAGCAGAAGACCACACCAGGAACCATTCCTGCTAAGAGCAGGAAACTAGGGCTCCAGTTTGCATGAGCTCATTAAAACTGGACAGTAGAAGATAATGCAAGCTAATGCACCATGTCACAAAGCTCAAATCATCTCAAACTACTTTCTGGAACATGCCAGTTAGTTTACTGAACTCAGATTCGTTCTTTTGGGATGTGGTGGAACAGGAGAGTCCCATCACAGACATTTTGCTGACAAAGCTGCAGCAACTGCATGAAGCTCTTATCTTAATATGGACTGAAATCTTGTAGGAAGGTTTCAGCACCTATGCCGTGAGAAATTAAGGCAAATCTTGGTACTGTACTAGCAAGGTGTCCAGTGAACGTATTTAAAAGTTTTACTTACTGACAATTGTGACCTTTTCTTGTTTCTCATCAGCTGATGATAGAAGAGAGTCTAACCAGTCCAGCTGGTCCTTACTGAACCCACCATTGAACATTGTGAATCTCTGCGTGAGATTGTTAAATGCTGAAACAAAAACACAAACCATCATCAACTCAGTTGGTGGGTCGCAAGCTAGTTTAGTCAATAACAAGTGTAAATCCATAAAACCTGTTTTTTGTCCTTTGGCCCTCATTTACAAATTATGCTACTAAAACACATAACTGTCCTACTGGATACCTTCACTGGTATAAATTACATTTTCATCTAAGAATTGTCAGTTGTTTAAGGAAGGCAATAAATAAACTAAATACATATTACTGCATTTTATACTGTGTACATGCATATTCCTGTTACTTGATATCTGGGCTAATGTAATTACATTTGTTTTATTAATGTTGTAATTATCAGTAAAGCATACCTGGAGGGCAGTTGAGATCTTCGTTTTTGTTATACTGCTTTATCAAATTCATAGCATCGACATATTGTTCACTGGCCTTCTCTCTTCCCAGCAGGCTCACATCATAGGCATCCAGGACAACAAATGTAAACCCGGGGAAAGGGCTGAAACTGTAAGCATATATGCCGGAGCCGGCCGGGGCAGTGCTCATGCTCCTGTCAGTGTGGAGCGTGCTGTTGAGCTTTGAACGCAGCAGCGCGCTCCTGCTGAAGTTATAAAACTCGTGGTTTCCCCATACATGATACACCTCCGCGGGGCAGGAGCTCAGCTCTCTCAGCACGGTGTCCAGCGCGCGCTCCGAGGCGTCCTTGGGCTTGTTAAAGCCGTCGATAATATCTCCCAGCTGGAGAATAAATGCTGGCTTGACAGCTGATTCCGACCAACTTTTCCGAGCATTTCTCAAGAGCTGGAGACCGCTTCGGTAGTATCGCCTACGAGTCCGAGTGTAATTGTAGCCGTCGTCGATGTCTGCGTACTGAATGTCAGCTATCACGCCGAACGTAAACAGCAGCGTTTGCTGACGACAGTCGTCCATTCTTGGTGTTGTCTTCGGATCAGCTTGAGTGCGCCCCTTATATCTACCGAGGAAGATGAAAATACCGACTCCACGCAGGTATCCTGTCCACCCCCTCACATGCTGACTGGCTGCCAGAATTTCTTCCGTTGTCTAGAATGACAGCGCAGCAGCCAGCGCGTAACCGAAACTGACGGCAACAAAACAACTTCCGGCATCCTTCGAAATAATGCTGAAAGCGAAACTGACTCATCGCAGCACACGTGAAGTGAAAATGTGGAAACTGGCTTTATAAACTACTCATAAATTGTATATTTTATTTCATAGGTGAGAATACTACATTTTTCTTTTGGTTTATTTTTCTATATTTGTAGAGAATATAAAGAAACATTCATTTACCTATGCTACCCCTGCAACAAAGGTCTCTATTAATGTATTAAAATATATAGTGTTTGAGTTCCCAGCATGTTTAAAATTCTGCTCTAACTTTCACTTGACAGTGCATGAATCAAAAACATCTTTTCCATCTTACCTCCACTCAGGTATTTATTCCAACAGGCTATACAGTAGTTTGGGGGGTGTTGTTTGTTTTGTTTTTCAACAAATTTGACATAGCTATAAGACTATAATGAAGGAGAAGGTTTAATCTAAAATAGTATAAAGCAAAGACAACAGACAAAAACTTGTATTCTTTTTTTCTTTTAAATGTTAGAGAGAACAGTTCTGTCTTTCAGCAGAACTGCAAGTATACTCAAAAGATTAATAAAAAATATTCTTCTGAAAGCTATATAGATGAGGAAGTCCTTAGTAAATATACCTCAGATGAACAACAACATATGATATATTACACAGTGTAAATGTTTATTAAACAAATGTACGCCAAAATACAGAAGCAGTTGTAAAAATTAAATACATCCTGTGATTCAACAGCTTGTAAAACCACCTTTTAGCAGCAATAACTTGAAGTGATTTCTGTATAACTTAATTAGTCTCTTGCATCTTTCTGA